ATTACTTGGCACATCAAGCCCCCAAGCAACTTAAAAAATCTCTTCCTCCCCCTTCGACTGCAAATTTTCAGTCTGAACCCCAGAAGAGCAGAATTCAGTATCAAATCAACTTCTAATACATACAGATTAATTTGTCATGACAGTGGAGGCCCAAAGCTCCAATCCTAAATGCAATTACTGGAATGCAAGTCCCATTAAACTTGCTGGAAATTACTATTTCCAAGTAAATATGCTAAAGGTTGTGTTAAAACTCAAACTATATGTTAGATGGTTTTCATTCCCTCCCTCATTTTGTCAAGACAATATCAGCATGCAGCCAGTGAGGCAAGGTTCGGAATGGGGCCGAAATTTGTTTCAGTTAGTATTCAAAGCCATCCTACCTAGTTTGTCCTTTCTGGAACAAGATGTGAACTGTAGCACAGCTAAGCTTCAAAGTTCACAATTCTCCAAATTTTACAGTGCAGTTTGCTAATCAAGTAATCTGTACAAACAGATAGATAGACTGGCTAGGTGTGCATAAAAATGAATATGAGAGTGAACATATTAAAAAATACATTAGGCAGACATTCACACTAAAATGCTGGTGAATTTTCAAGAGGACTTATCAGAAAAGATTGTAGACTGCTGTAGAAGTACAGAGGTCTGAACTCGAGGCTAGAAAAATGAGAAATCGAAATTGACAGATTCATTCGTCTGCACCTTCTGTGCACCTCTCCCAAAAAGATCGAAAGATGAAACAGAAAACATAGTTTTGGAGCATGACGTATCTTAATGGAGAGGTCTATCCATGCATATGCATGTAATTCAGCTCTCTGAAAATCTATCCACAGAATGAGAAATTAATCGTCCTTCAATCCAACCATGAGCCTGAAACATGGTGAAGTCAGTGAGGGAAAGACACACCCAGTGAAACTTGTGAGGGGCAGAGAGTGGGCTTGCTACAGCTAGCTTAATTAGGGATGTTTGAGAAATCTGACAACAGAAATGGGAGCAGAAATTGCTGCTGTTCATTTATTTGTCCCATATCTAGAAGGAAATCAATCCAGCAAATACACTCTGGAGTATAAAGTGGATTTGATGTTTCCCATTTGTACCTGTCTTTCACGTTGTCCACATGACATGGATGTCAACCAAGTGGCAGGCCACACTCCCCCACTCCACCCCAAATTAAGATTTTCCTGATCGGTGGATAATGCAGTCAGGTGTGGGAGAGAGAAATCCAACATAAAATCAAAGTGTGGATGCAGTGAAGCGCATTGTGTGGCCAGGATGATGTTGTTGTTGTTTGGCTTGTTTGCATTTAAACTATTAAAGTAATACAAAACATAAACATCAGTATTGTTACCACCTATCCCAATCTCAGCCAAGCAGGTCTTGGTGCTTAACTAGGGTTTGTGTGCCATTGGAATGAGACATGGTAGAGATTGTAGTATCTTTAAGAGATTTGGTTTATACATATTTGCCTCTGGTGGAGGGAGTGCAGAACACTACACCCCAAGAGTATCTCTTTGCTGCTCCTTTCATAGCTTCAGCAAGCTTGGGTCCAGAACAGAAGGCAGCCATACTCCCTACTCTCTCAGAGCCCCCTTCTTCCAGCCAATGAACATGGAGTTCTTCCCTCCTTCCTCTGTTTTAAAAGGACACATTTTTTCCTGTTTTGATACCACCCTGTTACTCTGGCAACCTCCCCGCTCCCAGCTTACATCATCGGATAATGAAATGCTAAACCTCACCTTTGTCTCTGCTCATCATCCCCTCATGAGGAAGGGCTCACACTCCTCTGCTGCCCAGCACAGGGTAACTGGGTCAATTGCCCATTCTCTTCCTTTGTGCTACACAATAGTTCTTCTCTCTCTAAGCAATTCCAGGCCAAGAAACTGATTCAGCCTGCATTCCATTTACATGGAAGAGGGAGCATGCTTTATTTCTCCTGCTCTGGAGGGTAGGACTCGAGGCAATGGCTTCAACTTACAAGAAAGGAGACTCCAACTAAACATTCGGAGAAACTTTCTGACAGTAAGAGCTGTTCAGCAGTGTAACAAACTACCACAAGAGGTGGTGCACTCTCGTTTCATGAGTTTTTCTTAAGCAGAGGTTGGATGGTCATCTGTAATGGATGATTTGGCTGATATTCCTGCATTGCAGGGGGCTGGAATCAATGATTCTTGGGTCCCTTCCAACTCTAAGATTCTGTGATTTGTACACTGCTAAGTTGCCTCGCACCCAGATGAAGACTTCAAGCATTTAGTAATTGTCTACATTTATTAACTCTAGAAATTATGAGGGAGGGGGAATCTGGTACGCAGGACTTTCAGGGGAATCTGCCCACTCCCCCAATTAATAAACAACATTATTATAGAAGATTTAACAGTTTATATAATATGCTTACTATATTAACTATTACAATCAAGACATATATATATATAGAGAGAGAGAGAGAGTGTGTATATAAATTAATAGATAGAGTATATATTTCAACAGTTGACCAACACTCTTAGTTTTACTGGAATCTCATGTTTCTCTGATTTGTTCCATCTACAAAGGAAAACAGGAAGTACCAGCATGAGGAAGTAAGTTGGTACCCTCTTGGGATACCAGTTGGCCATCCCTACAAAAATAATGGTGTCAATAGATGTTAAGAGCAAGTATTCCATCAAGGGAAGCAATGTTGGGTCTAAGCAGGAAAGAAAGTGGATCCACTTCAATGAGGGGATTAGTTGAAAGGAAGTCCAATGGGAGAGTCAGGAGCGTCAAATCTCTCTGGGATGCTTGGAGATTCTTTAAAACATAATAATAGAAGCTCAGACAGAATGTATGCCACCACAAATTAGGAAAGATACCGTCAAAGTGGATGCCAGCCCTGTTAACAAGCAGAATCAGGGAAGCTATAAAAGGAAAGACTTCCTTTAAAAAGTTGAGAGCAGAAAGTTGAGCACTTTGGTAGCAAATGAGAGCATTGCTAAAGGAAGACAGGGAAATTGCAGAAAAGCTTAATGAATTTTTTATATTGGCCTAGGGAACAAAATATGGAGTTCTAGAGCTATTTAAATTACAAATTAGCAAGTCACCATGTCCAGTTTTTCACAAAAGGCTGCCTAGTCTTTGTAAGTGCAAAGTTGTTGCCTCAACTCCGAAAATCAATTTTTGAATAGCCACGTAGACTACTGACATCAGAAATGGAGTGTGTGGGCTTATCCACTCTTATATTTTGCCCTACACTTTCCAGGCATGGACCACACTTTACAGCTCTGTGTCCAAGTGTCCTTTCTTTCTTTCTTTGATTTGCTTTGCTCCAGACCTTTTCCACGAAAACCTGCTCTTTAGAGCTCAACCCAAGCAAATGACAATCTGCTTAAAACCCGAATTGACATTTGCTCAGATTGAGCACTAAAGAGCAGGTTTTCACAGGTAAAGCTCTGGGGTAAACAGCAGCAGCAGCAACAACAAACAAACAAACAAACAAACAAACAAACAAACAAACAAACAAACAACATACAACAACAACATTGAGTGGCGGAAAGGTAAGTGTGAATAAGCCCTATATGGCTATTAGACAAAACAGTCTTATCTCCATAAAGGGAGCTGCTTTTATTGGTTTCATACTCTTTATGATTTCGACTCTTTCTCGCAGAACCTCTTTTCTGCCAGCCATGATGGCTGCAGTCTCCTGTTTTAAAGGTAGTATATGTCCAAGTATCAGTTGGACCATAATGGGAGATGAGCAGATTGCTGAAAAGGTCTTGCCTTTATGCCCTGCAGGAGTCTTCCAAGAAACACACAGAAATTATACATGTGAACAATTATTGCACCTGATTCTAGCACCAACTGTCACTTGAGGACCATGGGGTGGTAGCATTTAAGCCCAGGATGGCTTGCCATCAGTTTCATGGGTTTGCATTCATACATTAAATGAGGGCTGCAGAAGTTCAAAAACTATCTAGCTGTGTTGCACTGTCCTCCAGCCCACAGGTGTTCCCATCCCAACCCCTGCCACCCCCAAGACGATGAGCCAAACATTGCTCAGCTGCCAGCTCGGACTGTGACAGGATGGAGGTCCAGGATATATTTAGAAAGAACTCTTATGCCAGCACACTCTCCCCATTACGGCAGCCGGCTAAACTAGGTCGCTCATAATTGCTATACCATACTGCCAGTGCTTCTATTTGCTGGACTGGGAGCTGGTAAAAATTGTTGACATTTCCACCTTTCCATGTTCTCTGCCTGCAGTTGCAACGAGACTGAATGGCAAAGCACACAAGTTGCTGCAGAAAAAGTGAATTGCTTGAGAAACTGAATGGGTGTTTTTGACGGGCAAATGCTATTACTGCTGCTGCTGTTAATACGATATTTTAGAAACCAGGTTGCTTCTGAAAATAATTGGGATTGCTCATTTTATCTGAAACAAGTACCCCAGGATGTGATATCAAAAACTTCCATTCACCAAAAGCATCCCTATTGTTGTTTTATTTTTTGCTGCTTTTAAATAATTGACCACCACCACCCTCCCCGCAGTCTCGTTTTAAGTTTCCACATTGGGTTTGGCAATCCAGCAGAAGTCCTTTTAGGGGGTATGTAGGCTTCACAAAGCAAATTCTCCGAGAGCAACAGTGGTGTTAGCGGGATTTACATGTGAGCAAGGGCTTAATGCTGAAAGGGCAGCCAGAAGGGAGGGGGTTCGAAAAGAACATGTTCTGAAACTAGACCCCTATCTCTATCTCTCCCTCTCTCCCTCCCTCCCTCCCTCTCTCTCCAAAATGTGTCTCCTTCCTCAGGTTTAGGAAATGGATCCCTGCTGGGATTTCCTTTCAAAGGTGACTTGTAACCTACTCATTAGGGCAGATTTCTGCCGGGTACCCACAAACAGTGCCTTTGGCAGGGTCAGCCAAAAGTCGTGCGTGTGTTTTGCGTGCATGTCTGTACGGGTGTGCAATTTGGGTGAGGGGTAGAAAATACCCAGGGCACTTGGCAGCCGTGGCAGCAGTAGCATTAGGACTTCTAAGAGGAAGGCTGGAGAGGCAATGCTCTGATGGGGACTATGGAGTTTCAGAAAGACCCCAGTGCAGTAGCTCTAGAAATGCTCTTGATAGTCCAGCCCGAGAAGAGGAAGATGGTGCAGAGGCTGCAGATGGACAGACAGACGGAGAGCCACGCTTCACATCAAAGCGAAGGTAAAGAAATCTGTGTCGGCTGGTTAGCTTGCAAGGATGGGAAGTGCAAACAAACTCGGTGGCAAGGGTTTAACTTTGCAGGATGAAAGTGGGAGGAGGGGAAAATAAAGGGAAGGAGCTATTTTTGCACATGCACTCCCACAAACAAGTTTTAACAAAACATGGGTATTCCCTTTGTCTGAGCTGCTTTTGCTAACTTTCAGCTTAGCTCACTCCTACCAACCTTTCCGTGAAAATTGTTGTCAACCACCCTGTGAACTTTGGATGGTGGATGAGATAAAATAATAATAATAATAATAATAATAATAATAATAATAATAATAATAATATAACAACAACAAGGGAAAACACTGTTCCTGTTGCATCTCCATCTGGGAAGAAACCTCTGCAGCAGCACATAGGGCATAAACACAGCATTGTGCATAGTTACTGTGAAGGCAATGTCTTCACACTGTCCCTTCTCGATGTGAGAAGTTTTACAGTGTGAGAAACTTCCAAAGTTGTCATTCAGAAAATGTTCCCCGTCTGCAGACAGAACCAGTGACGGGGGCTGCTGAAACAGACAGTGATTCTGTAATTCAATCTCCTGTCTGTTGCCATCATAAACAAAGAGAACAAATGCTTGCAGTGTGTGTCTGTGTGTGCTAGCATGCATGTGTGTAATACAAGGAACTTTAGTATATAGCCTGATGCACCTTTTGCAGGGGACGTAATTGTAATGGTGACCTAATTACTCTCCTTTCACAGTACAGAAACCAGTGAAATCGGTGACCTCAGAAAAATAATAGGAGCAGCTGTAGTAATATAATAATAGGATAATAATAGGATATTGCAACTGGGAAGAACAGGCATTTCCAGTTGCTAGGGTATGAGGGGAATTCATTTGTTACTCAGTGTATATCATTCTCCCCACAATATTTCTTCCCTCACTACAACACTCTGAGGTAGATTAGGCTAAGAGTGAGACTGGTCCAAGATCACCCATTGATAATACAGTGGTACCTCAGGATGCGAACGGGATCCGTCCCGGAGCCCCGTTCGCATCCCGAACAGAACGTAAGTCGCGATAGTGCGTCTGCGTGTGCGGGTCGCATTTTGCCACTTCCGCGCATGTGCATGACGTCATTTTGACAGTCTGCACATGCACAAGCGGTGAAACCCGGAAGTAACACACTCTGTTACTTCTGGGTCGCCGCGGAGCACAACCCGAAACGCTCAACCTGAAGCGTATTTATCCCGAGGTATGACTGTATACATCACACATATTTAATGCTGAAATGTGCTGTATAGCATTCAGCACTCTAATACGGTAGATCAATGTTATTGTCCCTTTATTACAAATGGAGAGTGAGTGAATAGTGGCTTGCTTAAGGCCACTTTGTGAGTTCATGACTGAGGTAAAAACTGGTAAAATTTGAAGCACCATCTTACCCACTACTACTAATTTTGTCCCTTTCTCCAAGAAACTCAGAAGCGACATACAACACTAGAATTTTGCACAACTTCAGCTACCCTGAGGCAGCCCAGTTGCTAGGGAAGCGAAAGTGCCTACATACTGTACACATAGGTACAATGCCTGCATATACTGTAAACATGAGTACAATGCACAACATTCCCAGAACATCCTAGACTGCCACAACAAAGAGCAGCCTATTGGGAAATGAAATGCTCAAGATTTTAATGGTGATGCATCACTGTGGAATTATTAGGAGAGAACAGAATTGTTGGGAAGGCTGTGGCCCTTGTGCCTGCTCAATCTGCTATCCAGGTGATGGACAATGTCAGGGCCTCTACTCTCCCTTCTTGGGGTTCTTTACCTTTCAGCCAGACTTAAGCCAGGCAGCCTTTCAAACACATAGTCACGCTGATAGTAGCTCTGGAGAAGGGAGTTGTGTGTGACTGATTCCTTAAATTCCAGCTTGACCACTGAGAACTTCACAGAGATGGGGCACTTCTCTTGATTGCCCACATCCCTGAAGTTCATTTGGCCTTCACCAAGGACCAAGCCTATCTTGTGGCAGACCCTGCCCTGTGGCCCTCCCCACCAATAAAGGTTCAGCAGGAATCATGCCTCCCTTTTTTGAGACGTCTTTTGAAAATTGTATTGTTTGCTCAGGCCTTAACAATAGAAAATTTCTTTTTTGACCCATCAGTATTTATTGATGTTTTTATAATGTTATTATGGATACTTTTGTTGATTTGATTCTCCTATGTTGCACACTCTCTTGATATTTTTTTATGAAAGTGTGGATTATAAATCATCAAATAAATAAGGGGGAATGGAAATATTAGGTTCCCTGTCCCCACCCCCTTCTCCCTGCCATGCATCTTGTCTCCATTCAAAATAGGGGACCTGCAATTGTTTTTAAGGGAAAAAAGAACAAGATTATTTTGGGAGCTCCATGGAGCATCAACTTAATGTGTAGCTGGAATGAGTAGAGAGCTTGAGGAGAGAAGCTCAGGCAGGGTAAGCAGAGGATGCAAGGAAGATTCAGCTTCCCCCACCCTACCCAGCCACCTCTCTTGCTCATTAAATTGTATTTCTTAACTCCTGCTTTCTTTGTGAGCGGAGCAGATGTAGGAGTTGTGTTAAAGAAAAACAATGACATCTTAAAGCAAATGGAAAGTCTGTGCTAGATTGTCGCCATTATTTGTTTATTTTGTATTGGTCTTTCAGTAATATACATATGGTATAAAGTCACAAAATAGAAATTGAATATAAAAAGAAAAACCAAAACAACACACACACACCCCATTCCAAAAGGAAGGCAAGTCATCATTTTTATTCTTAGGTATAGTTAATGTTGCATTCATTTTGTGTTGTTCCTGCAGAGTGCAATGTCAGAATAATGTCACTATTTTCAATGGCCAGAAGAGATTGAGATATCCAAGGACAAAGTTCAGAGCAGAAATATAAATGTAACATCCCAATTTGTGCTGATGCATTAGGTGTTTACGTGTTTCATAAACCTGATGTGTTGTGGCCATTATTTATAACGAAAACTGTCTGTCTGCAATATCAAGCCTTTCCAAATTCCCTTAGGCAGGCTGTTCACTCATCACTCCGCCGTGGTGCCCTGGTCAGCTGCAGCGAGGTGGATCAGGCAAAGCACTCAGGGTTGTATGTTTGTTTCCAAACAAGGAAGAGTAGCAGGGATATGGTCACGAAACAAACACAGAAGGAGATTTTGGCCTTGAGAATGAGCCAACACATTTCAGAAGTTACCCTGGGGAGGTTTGGAGAGGGGTGGAAGTGTTTTTGTTCTAGCCAGCCCATTTGTTCATTCCTTCCTTTGGGAAAATGCTGTACATTTAATTTAAACTAACAGCTGCATGCACACACCCTAGCATAGAAAGAGTTTGAAAAGGAATATATTGTTGCACAATCTCTGAGCAGTGTAAGATTCCAGGGCTTCAAATCGCTTACCTACGGTTTGGTTTCCTTGGAATGAGGGGCAGGGAATATTGTGGTGTCTGTTTGCCATATGGTTTATTTACACATATACACAGACTGAGTCTATGATGAAAGGGCTCATAGCATTAACAACCCAGAAGGACTTGCTTCTCCCATAGCCACAACCCTTAACATGACTATCACTCTCAGGCATCTACTTGCTTGTAGCCCAGCCCACTCTCTCCACTCTGGCCTTTGACCTTCTCACTACCAGCCACTACTAGCCAATTTGCCCTCATGCGCAGAGCAGGTTCCTTTCTTATACTAAAGACCCATACCTAGGGCCATTACCAAGAAGCTATCCTGGCTATTCCAACAACTGAATCCTTCATGAGATTTTAACCCTTGCTGGATCCAGGAATTAGAAGGGACTCGGGCATCCAGCCTAATTTTGTACGCATGCAAACACCAAAAAACCCACAAAGTTCTAGGCAAAATCTCCAAGCACTCCAAAGCATTGACTTCTCTTTTGTCACCAGTTCTGCAAGACAGGCTGTGTCATGATCCTGTGATCACACCTTTATGGTGCCAGGGGCAGGCTTTCAATTCTTAGTGAAATCTCAGAGATCAAAGGGAGAGCTGAGCAGGACTTCGGTGCCTCCAGCTTCTCAGGATTTGCAGGAAGACAATAAGACTGTAACTCTGTACCCAGCTACTTGGGAATAAATCCCATGGAAGCCAGTGGGACTTCAGAGGAGACATCTAGAAGATTGCACTGTGAAAGATGAAAAATAAGCATACATATGCACATTTCTTTAATGTATAAAGGGAAACCATTCTAATTTCCTTAGCTCAGCCTTTTTAAAAACAACAACAACCCAGCTGAGAATTTGTCTTTGACTTCATCCAACTATTCATACCTTTGGAAGAACAGTGAGCTTTTGCAGGTATGCCTTAAGAGCAGTCCTAGTAGTAGATCATATACACAAAGGCTACGAGTGCTCTGTTATTGTAGCTGTCCATGATGAAATACTCTTCTAGGGGATGGTGAATTCCTTATGCTAGCTTAGTGGCTTTTAGGCTTGGGTTTCTAAGCAGTTTGGTTAGTTTGCTAGTTGGATGAATCCAAAATGTTATGAGCAATATCTGATGTTAATCATGCTCAAAGTAGACCCATTGACTTGGGTAACTTAACTCCATTGATTGAAACTCCCTGCCTATTGACATCAGTAGGCGCCTTTTCTGTATTCATTTCAGTGCCTGCTTTAAAACATTTTTGTTTTCCAGGCACGGAAATGTTGGCATGTTTTAACCGATTTTTAGTTCACTGCTTATTTTAATTGTTTTTTTAAAAAGTTTTTAATTAATTGTTCTTAACTTCTTTATTGATAATTTTAATATTTCTTGTAAGCCACTTAAAGGTTTTGTTACAATCCAACAGCACATAATTTTTGTTAAATAAATAAATAACACAGTTTACTGCTTTTGTTGTTTTTTTAGGCTTTCGAGGGGATGGCAATGGAAACAACAAACTAGGAAATGAGCTTCATGGTATGTCATTTTCTCTCACCCTTTGAGTTTCCATGTGAGAAATGCAGTCCAGCTCAGTGTATTCTAATACCCATTAAAGGCAGCTGGGGTGGGTCTCTTGAAGGTTTAATCATTGGCTCCATATATTTTGCTGCCTGAAATATAAGGTCCAAATACTGTCACCACTCACAGAGGCTGCTCAGATATTGTAAACAACTGGCAATCTGCTGCCATTTAATGGCATTGCAAAATCTGTCCTCACTCAACCTAATAGTAGAGCCGGTCCTGATGCCCATAGCAACATGGCGGCATTTGCAGAGCTAGCGATTTCTGTGCTGAAGGCAGTCTGGAGGAGAGAGCTCCCAAAGTCCCGAATTACAGAAACAGCCAAGTACAGATATTAGCAATCTGAATTAAGAAACCCAAATATTAGGCTGTGTGCATAACTCTTCAGTATTTTCCAAACTTGGTTCTCCAGCTGTTTTTGGACTTCAACTCCCATCCTTCCTAGCTAGCAAGACCAGTAGTCAGGGATGATGGGAACTGAAGTTAAAAAGCAGCTGGAGACCAAGTTTGGGAAACATTGTGAGATAATTCCATTTTGCTAATCTCAAATCACAGTACAAGAGGCAGAGTTATTCTGCTCCTTGTTCTATAAAAGCTGCCCAGAGCAGGAGTCCTAGCAAAGGAACTACCAAGAATCTGGGCATGAAATTTTCAGATCAGAGGGAAATAGGCTCTTTAGCTTTACAACCGGATCTAACAAGACTTTACAGCGGCTTCCACCAACTCATAGGTATTCACTGAAGATCTCTAGTTGTATTGCCAGAAATCTTCATGCACCAAGCATGGAGGTGTCAACAAATCAATTTCAGGCAGTGTAGCGAGATTACTGTACTTATGAAGTCTGACACCATGAAGCAGCCGGTGCTCCTACAGTATTTCTGAATGCTATGATGCAATTGCAGATTGAGCCATATTAAAACAAACACATGGGCCGTCATCACACACATTGCAGTGATATCTCATCATCTTTCATGGGTCTGAGCCATGCCAGCCATAAGATACGTGGTACCCAGAATGGCAAACACATTGCTGAAATGCTCCAGCTTCTCTCTGGGGACTGCCAATATAACTGATCTTTGAAAGAAAAGGGATGCAACTCAGTGTGTCCATTGATGTAGACTGGTCTATCTTCCATGCTTGGGGGGTGGAGGGGGCTAGCATTTTAAATCAAAATTATATAAAACCATGGACCTGTTAAAATATGAGTGTGTGTGTTCTGTGAATGCACAGAGTGGGGCTTGAATCCATTATCCTTGCTGCCAAGTTGCATTCATCAAAAGTCAGAGCAGAGTTTACATATATACAATTACACAAATCATAGAATCATAGGATTATAGAGTTGGGCAGTACATCAAGGGTCATTTAGTCCAACCCCTTGCAATGCAGGAATCTCAGCTAAAGCATCCATGACAGATGGCAAAGGCTACCTTTCACAGTTATCTTACTTGTACCATGTACATGTGTTGGCTCTATTCAGACCATGGGTTGGATATAAGGAGGTGATGTTCAATTTCAGTTGGAGAAGAACAGGCAACTGGTGTTTGGGAGGGGAAATGGAGGAGGGTATGGTTGGCTGGCTGGGACTTTTAACAGGAACACCCTGCTAATAGTGATACTCTTCAATCTTCTGCCACTAGTCCAACTTGCATTTTCCCTGCTTTTGCATGGACTTATCACTTTGCCCCTGTTTCATAGGTTGTTTTCTTGTCACTAAAGCTTTCCTTCCATCACCAGGCCATGCAGCTCAGATGCAGCAAGTCATTACTTCCAGCTCTGCCCAAGGTATGTGATAAACCAATGAACTGTCTGGTAGTGCTCTTTGCCCCGTGCTGCAAGTTACTGGGAGTAAGCTTTTACCTTAGAATATCATGAAATTGTAGAGCATTTAGAGACATTTGAACAGAGCAAAAATGGCATACTATTTTGGAAAATCACCATGACCCCTCCAGATGTTACAAAATTACAGAAGTTAAAAGAAGAAATAAACTCAATGAAATTAATCTCTGGAAGCAGGATTAAGATGAGGGAAGGCCTATTTTTTTAAAAAAAAAATCCTGCATGCCTGATCAATCTAAATATGCTGTGTTACTGAGGAAGGCAAAATCTAGTTGCTAAAGGAGTATATAATACAATCTCAAAAGCATTTTAAACTATTTTTTCCTGATGATTTCTCATTAGAACAATAAATACTTAAATATACAAAATTATATAACTTCCATTCATTTAAAAAAATGTTTGCATTATAAAATGAAGAAAAACAGACATGTTTTAATAATCTAGTCTAGCATTCTGTCTTCATAAGTAGTCTGTCAGATGCCCCTAGGATAGGGCTGCCATATATCAGGATTTTCCAGGACGTTACCAGGATTTCAAAAGTGGAATTGATGTCAGAAAGGCAGTGTTTTGTCCTGGATCTTAGGCAAGTCAAAAAATCATGTTTTTGGGTGTTTTTGTAAAAGAAAAGAAAAGAGCAAGCTCAACTTTCGGGGTGTCCTGGTTTTTACTTTGTGATAACTCTACCCTTGGAGGAAGAACATTATACAGATAGTTTTCTAAGCCTCCAAAACAGAATGGCCATCGTGAAGTGATATAGCACATTCTTTGAATGCAATGTTCGCAGGTTCAATTCCTGGAATCCCCAGTAGGTCCCTCAGAAAACTGCTATAGCTATGCCCACCAAAGCAGCCATTTTATGAATGGGCTGCTTCCCATGGCAGCCATTTTGTGATGGTGTCCACTGCATTTTCTCAAAATTCCCTTGCACTAGATGGATTTGACTTGTCATTAGGCAGCTTCCTATGATCTTCTTATAGGCTATCCCCACCCCACGACTTTTTACTACAGATCTGCTCCTTTTAAAAAATCATATTGCAAGCCCAATTGTAAGCCATACCTTGTGGAGAAAGAGTAGAAAAGATTCTACTAAACTAAAAGAGAACTGGAAGAAGTAAGAATGAAGGACTGACAGGGCGATTACTTGACTTCATTGTCTGCAAAGAAACTACAGAACATCTGTTAAGTGCCCAGAGGCTCCCAGTCAAATTTCTCTGTTTGATGAGGAAATATCAAACACAAAGGGGTATACAACTGTCAAAATATGTCTTGATTGAAGAAAGTCCCTCATGGTTCCCTTCTGAGAGAGGCTGAGAAATGAGAATTGGCTTGAGGTAGTTATACATCTGAACTCTTGAATAGCTTATACTGAAAGCAAGCATAAAGGAAGCATATTTATGTGGGGAGCCAGCTCATAAACTTTCTAAACAGAGTGTTGCCCCCTCTGCAGAGGAAGCTGTGTGGATTCAAAGCACTGGAGGAAGGACTTTTAATCCACACAGCTTCCTCCAGCCGCCTTGTCTGCACCAGGCAGCTCCTGACAGCAAACTCTCTAGTGTACCAATCCTCCCGCTTGCAAAGGAACAATTCCTTTCAGTTCCTGATTGTTCTGGATTGTGACTTGGATTGTCCTGGTTGCGACTTGGAAAAATGGCCTTTTCTGCCATTTTGTTTCGTATGGGAATGTAACAAGTGTTGCACAAATGGACACCTGCTTGCTTAAGAGGGCTTTCCGGCTGTCCTTCTCCCCACTGCAACCCCTTTGCCCCTTGAAGGCCTGGAATGTGGCACAGGGAGTGGTAGTGGGAGGAGAGAATCACCCAAAACTACTTCCATTCCCACTATGACTGCAGCTCCTAGCATTTTGGGGTTACAGTAGGAAGGAGGAATGCAGGATTATCCTAACACTTTCATCCTTGGGCTCTCACTGACTTGGATGCAAGGCATGATGCTTACATGCTGAATTACGTTTCCCAGTACTGACCAGCTTCAAAAATTCTTGCTTGTTTCAGGAACCCACGTGACAGTAGAAGTACATGCTAGAAATTCTACCCCACAGTTATTCAAAAAACTCTCCTTTGGGAAAGGTATGCCGCTTTTAAAAATCAATATTTTGTTTTGTCACAATTCTTACACATTTATTTATTTTTTGTTCCCTTGTTCTCACAACAATAAAAATAAATTGACTGGTTCCTTGATAAAGGCAAAATATCTCATATTAAATTATATGCAGGAGCTCATGTTGCGCTGTAGTAAAGAAACTGAGCTATGAAAGAGGGAGTCTTCAAATCTTCTGCAGACTCGCTAGGTAGCCTTAGGAAAGACATTTTCTCTTATCCACAATTCCTCCACTGTGATATGTGGGATATTAATAGTGGCCTACCTTCGCAGATGGTCTGATGGTCATGACACCAGACCCCACAAATACAGCAATCACCCTAACCGAGGAACTCAACACATCGCAGTGGTGTTGGGCTTACAAGTAAACTTTGCCAAGTCTGAGGCTATGTGTTTCAACACCCCACCTCATATACAAAAATAATTTTCCAACATCACAAAGATAAAAATCTGCCGTACCAAATTCAGATACTTAGAGGTACAAATAACCAGAAACCTCAACAAACTATACCTCCACAACTACAAAGCCCTGTGGCGACAAATTAACAATGACCTGAGGAGATGGAACCATATTATCTTCACTCTGTCAGATAAAATAGCCATGATCAAAATGATCACTCTTCCAAAATTGACCTACCTATTCCATACCCCTCCAATCTGGATTCCACCAACCCAACTCTACTAATGGCAGAAAAGAATACACTCGTTTATTTTCTCATACAAAAAGCTTCAGTCACTTTTGCACTTTTATTATTGGAGAATTGTTCCATCTTTGTAGGACCAATTTCCCAACCTTTCCTCTTACTATATTTAGTAGGAGAGAGCGAGAAAGAGAGCAAGAAGTAAATAAGTAAAATCTTCCACATATGAGACTATACTCAGCCCTTTAAAATGGTTTGGGCATGTTAGTGAGCTGATATCCCAGAGATGATGGGAACACAAATAGTTGAGAGTTCAACAGATGTCCGCAACTCATGGCAAAAGAAACACTTTCAGCATGCTTTTCACGTGATCATATGCTCATGGCTGCCACACCACACTGAGACTAGGAAAATGCCATGTGGGGTTTTAGTGTGATGACCTCTTGAACAAATCAGTGTCAATTAATTAAGTACTTGTTCTGTAGGCCTACTCTCCTTTCTCACTTCTCTTTTGTCTTTCTACTTCAATTCATTTTACATCCATTCACCTATCTCACATGCTTTTCACAATTTCATATGTTTTCCAGAGAACAGAAAACGCAGACCCCGTCCACCGGGTTTGAAAGACCAGCATGGTAACTATAGAGTTGCATTATACCATCGCTCCTACTCCTACAGTACAGATTTCACAGAGGAAACAACAATATACAAAACGGGAAGCATCCTTTTAAGAAAAAAAATGCACACACAAAACAAATGGAGTTCAGAGCAAAGTTTGCATTCAGCACCCAAGGCTGCCCATGTGGTGCTCCTTGCCACATGTTCGCCATTGGACAGTTTTTCTGTGCTGCCAGCTCTGTTATCTTTGAAGCGGTTTGGGAACTGACCTGACAGCACTTTCCATCTGTTTAGATGGCAATCCTCATGAGCAGCAGCAAGAGCATTGTTGCCACCCACAGCTCCCCAGAAAGATGCCCGAGACTGCATACACAACATACATTTAAATCACATGGCTTTCCCCAAAGGACCCTGGGAACCGTAGTTTATCTTTCCCAGAGCTACAGCTCCCAGAAACCTTAACAAACCACAGGATTCTTTGGGGGAAGTAATGTGCTTTAAAAGAACTGTGTATGCAGCATGGATCAAGGGGTGTGTCCTCTCTGATGACTCAAAGCAAGGATGCTGGTGCCGATGAGTTCCAGGAGGCTAAACTTACTAAGCTTTTGAAAATGCCATCAATGCATTGGCAATTTGGCTGAGAAGGAAATCCTGCTCTCAGATTACACCTCCGCATTTCTTAGTTACAAATACAGCTGATTATTAGGGAGTGAATGTATAAAGCACAGCAGCCATGGTGGAGATCAGCATCTGGCATCCTAGGCCACTGCCCCATTGTTCCAATGGGGTCCACCAGCACTTATGCCTGCGTTGGACCCTCCACCTTGAGCATCTGGGCCTGTGAGACTCCATTTTAATGTCCCACAGCACCCTGAAGTGAACACTCCATTGCATGCCACCCCAGTCCCCAAGTGGCGTGAGTCTAGGTGCTTACCCAAGGTTTGTGTTTCCTTTGGAATGAGGCACAGCAGAGACTGTGGTGTCTTTATGATATGTGGTTTATATACACATATATAAGCAACCTGAGCCTATGATAGAGAGGCTTCACAGCATTAACACCCCAAGAGGGCCTTGCTTCGCCATTAGCCACAGCCTTTAATTCCTGCAGAAACCAAACATCTTTCTCTGCTTTGCCTCTAGTGTAAGGTTACTAGATTTTTTTCAATGAATTTGGGGACACTTTTCAACTTCAATTGATTTTGTATGGGGACATTTGTAAATCCAGGGACTATCCCCGGGAAATGGGGACGTCTAGTAACCTTGCTCTAGTGTTTAGCTCACATCACCCAACTCTCAGCTTTCAACTCTGCCTTTGGCCTTCTAACTACCCACCCATTTGCTATCTCACACAAAGCCCTTTCCTTTCTTCTGTTTAATGGCCCATCACCCAAGCTGACACCTCACCAAGAAGCTGGCCTGGCTATTCCAAGAATTAGAAAGGGTTCAGGCATTCAGCCTACTCCCCCCCCAACCCCAACCCCCCAATAACAGCTACATGAAATGCTCTAGGGCATTATGGTGAAATAAAATGGCAGTGCCTGGTCTCTCCTGGAGTGCTGTTTCTGTCACCACCGCCACCACAGCCAAGTACAGCTGAGGGAGCCCACCAGTGTAAGAGGGGGCCCACTAGATGGTACTTTGACCAGAAACCCCTCCAGCCTGGAGCCAGTCCTTGTGGAGATGCAACCTCACTTGGTTGATGGCAAGTTGTATGCATCACCATAACCTGACCACGCACAGCCCTTTTCAGAAGTTTGATGAGCAAGTGTTTTAGCTGAGCAGGCTGCTTTTAAGATAGGCCTCCAATTAAACATTCGAAATTGGTATAGTCAGTGCCTGCCAATGTTATTTGTGCTTAAATATTGCCTTGCTCCAGTTTGCACAGCATATCGGAGGCCTAGTACACAATTCTGGCTGCTAATGGTAACAGTGTGTGACTGTAAGAGTTATTGTGAATTCTGCAGCTGTAGGGAGCCTTTTCAGTTATAACCTGACAAAGACTAAAACTGATCACCAATTTGAAGAAACTACCCGCTCCCAAATGGCAAAAAAGTAATTTTCTGAGCTGTATAGAGCAGGAACCTTTTAAGTGCGTAAATCTGCTTTAGCTCTCTTTAGGTCAGTGTAATAGCCCTCTTCAGCGAAAGGCCAGATAAACAAACAAGCCTGTTAAAGAGACAGATGCCTTGTGCTTGAGTGCTGGTTTGAGACAGACAGATGGCTGTTTGGTACATGAGGTGACAGCGCACACCCTCTTGCCTGTGGTTGCTCCATCACTAATCACAGTCTGGAAATGAGGTTGAACCAAGCCTGAGGAATAGTGAGACACACAGGCTTCTGACACTGAGGTTTTCTTCAGCTGTGCCTGCCCATTCCCCAAAGGTCAGACACAGCAGAAAAGGTGTGTTAGGGATGGAGAGAGAGCAAGAGAGTCGTGTGCTACTTGGCTTTAAAATCAGGAGAGGTGTGATGCAGTTAGACTACTCCTGGACATTGTTCCTGGGCCCGTGAAGCTGCCAATTTGCAGTAGAGACTATTTAGCACCTAAGTGCATCAGCTGATGTATAGATGGCTTGTGTTGGCTGTGCATCTATGAACAGTCAACATAATGGCAATATACAAATCTGATCCTCTGCAGATCTGTCAGAACATTTGGGCCCAACCAGATGCCTCTGGGAAGCTCAGAAGCAGGGAATTGAGGCAATCAGCCTCTCCTACTGTGGCCTGTCATTCAGTGGTATTCTGCATATTTACCAAGAGGCAGTGGTGGCTGATGGGGCAGAAAGCAGGGAGGTCAAGAACCAGAGCCCATTACAAGTGGAGGCAGAACCAACGAGAGGCAGAGGCAGCTTTTTCTAGTTTTGTCTCCATCCTCCCCCTTGCTGAGTTCCAGGAGAGCAACACTGAGACGAAGGAAGAGGAAACTGACAGGCAGTAAATAGACTGGCTGTAAATAAGGCAGTTAGGTGGGGCTGGCTGAGGGCAGGCTGGGGTTGGTGCAGCAGTGCCCAATTTTGCCTAATGGAGCAGCTGCCTAGAAGTTCCATAGAGCCATGATGCCCAACAGCCATTGACAGACCTAGCCTGTATCAATTTGCATAATCCCCTTTTAAACTGACCTAAGATAGTAGCCATCATGAACACAATCCTATGCATGTCTACTCAGATAGAATACCTATTCAAATTGATTTAGTCCCAGGACATAGTGCATAGGATTTCAGGCATAGGCTATTTACATGAAGCAATAGCCTGTGTAGGTAGGGATGCAGATAGTTGCATAGGGGAAATGTTTTTACAAAGCTGATCAGATCTGATTTCATCTTCTGTGTTCTGCATGTGTTGCAGCTGATGCAAATCTCCTCCATTGCTTAGCCTTTTGGTCCCTGCTTAATCAAGAAACCTTTTGCCTCCCCTTTGTGCCTTAACGTTTATAAATTGGGAAAAGGTGCGCAAAGCCAATGCAATACAGGCAACTCCCCATTTACACGGGGGCTATGCTCTGAGGCACTGTGTGTTTACGTGAAACTGTATATATTGGAAACACCATTGAAAAAACCTGCAAACACCCTCCAAACCTCCAACGGCCTCAATGGTTGGCGCAAGGACTCCTGGGATTGTGTGATCGAACCCAGCCCTCCTGCCCAGCATGATATCAGTTGATTGACAAGTGGACGTGGTTTGGGAGACATGGCCTCACAGGCCAAATTGGACCCCCTACTACAGCACAACTGGCGCATAGGCTGGAGTTTCCTCATTCCTAGTTCGTGTATAAACTTACCTGCTCAGTGCTCCATGCATCTGATGAAACAGGCTCTGGGCAAAGGAAGCTTAGGCCACTATATATTTATTAGCCTTTTCAGTTGCTAGTGGACTTTTATTTCTTTTTACATAATAAATGGAGGGAAACTTAAACTATTGTAAACCTTGCATGTGAAAACGACTTTAGTATAGATCTGGTTTATGCTTGCTAGAGTGTTTGTCTAGCTGAAATGTTTCTTCCTTTCCAGAATAATTATTACCGATGACATGTGTTTTTTCTCCTAGCTTACCCATGGGACAAGTCATGCTTGAAATCCATACCTTTTGACCTAAAGGACTTTGAGAAATTGGATGCATATGCAACAAAGGTAAAAACATAAATGGAGGTCATGACATCATGAATTCAAACTCTGCTTCCCATCATTTCTAAAACTCCAGCACCAGATATATACTGCATATATTCTAGTAATTACACAATGGAATGCTTGTGGAATTTGGTTGTCTGAATGATCAGATATATCAGTTCAATTATTATTTTTTACAACACTGTGTGCAAAAAGCTACATGCCTGCTGGTAAATATGCTGAGAAGCCAATTGTGTGGTGAATTAAAAACCAGTCAGCAGAGTGTTAATTTAAATATTTTAAATAACAATACTAACCACTTTGGAAAAAAAGATTACAGGAACTGGCCTTTAACATAAATTCATGATCCTTGGAACTGGGTTATGGACTGAGTTATCTATGCAGAATACTCTGCAATCATCATCACATTTTTGAGAAGTTATAATACAATTTGTTGAAGTCTGATGATTGCAAAATCTATTACTCATATCAACTCCTTCAGACAACCTCTTCCACTTGAATAGTGGGCAAAACACAAATAGTCCTTTGAATTTCATTTGTGTGTTCCTGAGGTGTCTTTCAGATTCTGCATTAAGAATACCCTTCCGCAATCATCTGATTGGAACTCTTCCCTCCTTATCCCAAGCTCCCTTAGACCAATTATTGCCAGCTCTGACTGGAAGCAGTTCTCCATTTGAAAGAGACATTTCAAATTACTTGCTGCCTCACCCTTCCCCAGCCTAGTGCTTTCCAGACACCATCAGCCCCAAGAGAGTGTGGCCAATGATGAGGGGTGATGGGAAGTGCAGTCCAACAACATCTGGAGGACCCTAGTCTGGTCCTTTGAACAGGAGATGTGAGGCATTGGACCTGCAAAATAAGAGCTCTACTACTAAGTAATGATCCCTTTCCCTAGTAATTCCTCAGATGATATTTCCCTGAGGAAGCACTTCCAAATGTTTTGCTTTAGGCAAAATCTGAGGGCAACCTTAAAAGCTGCTGAGAAACTCCACAAGTCTTATCAAAATGTTGTTTGGCTTCCCTAAGATGTTTCACTTCAGGAGAAGCTCCAAAATTTGCTTCCAATTTCACTTTGGACAAAAATTTCACTGGCAACTCCATAAACAACTTGCTAAATATTTCTCACAAAGACAGCATCAGCCCAGGATGAGGTGTCCGCTGAGTATGTGGCTTCCAGATCTTTTAGAACAGATACAACAATACACTTTCATTGGCTGTCAAAGGAAATTGTACAGTAACAGAATCTCATATTGGCCTGAGGGTTGAGCAGGTCTGGCTGACAACCATCATACCATGTGAAAGGAAACAGTTTAAATAGAATCTAGTTATAGAATAGTGTCTAAACGTATCTGAAGGGCATACGCGGGATAGGAGAGAGTAACCCTACCCAATAATATATTTGAAGCTTGTAAAAGACTTGCTTCTTAAAACACAGCAAGCTGCCAAGAACAGCATGATGAAGCTGAGGAAAACCCTGTTCTGAGTGCCTTATGCCAGCCTGCTGACTAATAGATAGGGCTTCTAAACAAACAAACAGAAAATGGCTCCATCCTGAGCCAAACTGTAACCCAGGTGTAGGGAACCTCTGGCCACCCAGACATTGCTGAACTACAACTCTGCTTTGTTGAACATGCCATATGACCAGAGATGGCGCGAGCTGTAGTTCTGCAACCTCCAAAGGGCCACAGGTTCCCTACACCTGTAAGCTAATGTTCTTTCTGTGACACATAGCAGAGATTTTGTTGATGAAGTTAATGGTTCTGCCAAGTAGTGGACCCTAAGAGAGATCCTCTGAATTTTGTAGGAAGGCAGAAAAGGTAACCAACCTTCACAGCTGGTTTGAAATCACCAGTTATCCACTTTCTTCGTATAATACAGGTGACCGCCAAGAGTACTGTGGAGGAGCTAGTGAAAACCTTGCTTCGCGTAGCACGTACCGACCTGGAAAAGGTTAGGGCCATTTGGACATGGATATGCCATCATATAGGTAAGCAGAGGATGCCGTCATTTCCTGGAACCTGTGGATAATGCTGAACAGTTGCTTGCCTTTTACTGTGGTTCTAGAACCCAGTTTATACATTGTGTTGGTAACGAGAATGTCAAGAAAATGCACCAGGCCTGGAAAATCTGAATTTTAAGAAACTTTGAAATGTTTTTACCACCACTGCAAAAAGTGCTCTCTGTCAATAATCTTCTCACTCATATACCTTTCAGAGAACTGTCCCTTCCCAGAAAATACAGATGTAAAATATTGTCTTCCCTTGGACCATTCTTTCCCAATTCAAGTCTGGCGCAGCTGTGAAAATTGTGTTGTGACACCACAGAAGGCTCTTAGTACTATTTATGAAACAAACGACAGTTGATTCATACCAAATTGGGTTTGTATTGGTGCCTACAGCTTTTCTCCTGCAAGGAGGGGAAAGTAGCAATTTGGAATGGGAACTGGCCAAAGGAGAAAGGGTTGAACAGTTCTTCTCCCTTAGGATGCAATTCTATGGTCTCTGGGCAGAGAGGGAGGTCCTTCCTTGAAAACCCCCTCCCAGGCAGTGCAGGAAGAATTGTCGCTGGGGCTTTCCAGCTGAGGTCCAGTGAGAGAAAACACTGGAAAGGGGTGCACCAGTGGTGGGTCACTGTGGGATTTAAAGCTGCTGGATCTGAAACCTTCCCATTCTCCAACTAACACCCCACCAACACAGGGAGGGAAAGAACATCAACCCATGGACTGGTGTACTAAAAAAGCAAAAAGCTCTTCCCTTTCTGTCCTACTGGTGAGAGCCTAGCAGGAATATTGATTTGGTGGTGCATCTATCCCTGGGGCAAAGCAGACTTCAGGCTGATCAGACCTACTTTGATTCCCACCCCTGTTAGAATCTCAGTATCTACCAACCAGAGCCAGACACAAAAGACATCCCAGTTACAATTAAAGAACAGGCTGACTCTGAGCACACTGAACTTAGTGCTAGGAGTTTGTTTTCAGCAGCAGAAGTTAACTGAATTCACAGTCCTTTTACGCAGTAATGCATTTGTCCTGGTTAAGTTTCTTCATTTCAGCAGTCTAATTTGGATGGGAAAAGTTGTTTTGTTCTTGTTCTTTAACAACAGAGTGTCAGTATCCGTTGCACATTACCAAGGGTTTCCACTGACAGGCTTCCTTAGGTGAATCCCACCCTAAGTAAACATCTGTTGTACCTGTTTGTATGTGAATACTTCCTGGTTACTTAGCACAGGTCTGTATGACCCTTGTTTCACTTTGTCTATTTGTTTACCTTACACCTGTGGTTAAACTTTCAACCTTTGCTCCCCAGAATATGATATTGTGGGCTTCTTTAACAAAGACCAGCAGTCTTTCAAACCCAAGGATGTTCTCCAGAGCGGAAAGAGCATTTGCGAGGGATACGCTGGGCTCTTTGAACAAATGTGCAGGTACATGAAGATCAGAAATGTTCCCTTGCTCTGTTACCTATGCACCAGTTCTCTCTCTCTTTACACCAACTAGGATTTGAAGCACCGTTTTGAAGCTATATTGTTGAACAGCAGCAAGTCCTAGAAAGGTCAATTTTGCTTTCCGCCCCCCCCTCCATAATTTACTTTGTACCATCTGCTGAGGCTCGCATTGCATTAACATAATGGCAGATGAGTACATGGGGATAATTTAGTTAGAAGAGGCTCTCTGATTTTTTCTGGAGCATCTGAAGGTTAAAAGAACATTAGGACTGAAGAATATAGACTACCCCCATGCAGTTCCTCACATGCAAGAAATGGTGAGTGGTGTGTCCCATGCTGAACTTGGCCACATCCTCTGCAAACTGCCCCATACATCTAGCACAGGAGCACCCTGGTGCAAAAACCTTTTCAGTCCAGGGGCCACATTCCTTTCTGAGGGACTTCCCAGGGGCCACAAGTCAGTGGTGAGTGTGAGGGCAGAGCAACAAATAAGACTCTGGGCAGGATTCATCTAAGTTGTGTGTGTGGCACTCATGCAACAGGACAAGGGGACAGCAAGGCTGGTGAGGGGCATGGCCTGAGAAGATTCCCAAGGGCCAGTTAGAGAGGCTTGGAGGACCACATTTGGCCTTCAGCCTGAAGTTCCCCACCCTGAGTTAGAGGGATGGGATTTGGCTGTGCAAGTACTGTGATTAATTTTCCCCTGACTGCTCACAAAAGAATGGCTACAAGACATACTAGTTGATTCCTTCACAAGAACTTTCCTGCCAGCTTCGTTTTATGAATTAAGGCTGGTGAGAATGCTTTTTTTAAAAAAAAAAAAAAAAAGGATGTTGTTAGAACTTCCTTGAAGACTTGGATTCCCATGGCACCCACTCTGTTACATCCAGACCTTAATCGAATTGAGAATAAATCAAGGTTTTCTTCCAACACATCCTCTACCCATTGAGAAAAAACAGGTGCTTATGGAAGGAATTATGTATATTTTTAATTGCAGCTTTGAGAGCTCTTCCAAGCCAAGCCCCTGGTGTCCATAAAAAGTAAACATCAACATGATGAAATGTTGTGTTACTAGATATCATTTAACAATAATAATTATCAACTCATCCAAATGTTCCCTTGTCAGGATCTAGCCCTGCTGGAAGCTAATTAAGCAATTGTGGGATATTGAAGCACTCACCGAAATTTTCATCCCATTGTAAGAAGGATGCTTATGGAAAACAGCATTTACATGCCTACAGTGGTGCCTCGCAATACGAAATTAATTCGTTCTGCGAGTTTTTTCGTCTTTCGAATTTTTCGTCTTGTGAAGCACAGTTTCCCATAGGAATGCATGTATTAACGGTTTTAAGAAAAAGGAAACAAACTTGCAAGACGTTTTCGTCTTGTGAAGCAAGCCCATAGGGAAATTCGTCTTGCGAAGCAATTCAAAAAACGAAAAACTCTTTCGTCTTGCAAGGCATTCGTCTTGCGAGGCATTCGTCTTGCGAGGTACCACTGTACTTGAATGCAGATACTGTGCATCTTCACTGCATGTCTTCCAATGTGCTGTGGATTCCAATCTTTATCCATTCTGCAACAGCTAATCGTGGGCAACTACACATGGGTCAGGCTAGGTTTGCCACATCGTGTTTTGATGAACACAAAGCCTGCCTGAGCAGCATGACAAGCATTGTGGCTGCTATGGCAATGGAGATGTATCCCATCTTTCTCCATTCTGCCTCACTGAGTGGGCTGGGGCCAGTGGAAGACTTTTCCTAACCCTCAGTGATGTTACATTGACTACTTGCTGCAGACATCATTGCATTCATTATGGCTGAGATCACACAATGATATCCTAAAATGGGACCATAAGTAGCCCATTGAGGGGTGCAAAACGGGTACAGAAATACCACAAAAAGCCATTAAGGTAGGCTGTCTCTATAGGGTATTTTGCACCATTCGCAAACCTGAATATTGCCTTTTGTTGTTGTTGTTTAGCCGTTTAGTCGTGTCCGACTCTTCGTGACCCCATGGACCAGAGCACGCCAGGCACCTCTGTCCTCCACTACTTCCCGCAGTTTGGTCAAACTCATGCTGGTAACCTCGGAAAACACTATCCAACCATCTCGTCCTCTGTCGCCCCCTTCTCCTTGTGCCCTCCATCTTTCCCAGCATCAGTGTCTTCTCCAGGGAGTCTTCTCTTCTCATGAGGTGGCCAAAGTATTGGAGCCTCAGCTTCACGATCTGTCCTTCCAGTGAGCACTCAGGGCTGATTTCCTTAAATGGATGCGTTTGATCTTCTTGCAGTCCATGGGACTCTCAAGAGTCTTCTCCAGCACCATAATTCAAAAGCATCAATTCTTCGGCGATCAGCCTTCTTGATGGTCCAGCTCTCACTTCCATACATCACTACTGGGAAAACCATGGCTTTAACTATACGGACCTTTGTTGGCAAGGTGACGTCTCTACTTCTCAAGATGCTGTCTAGGCCTGTCATTGCCCTTCTCCCAAGAAGAAGGCGTCTTTTAATTTCGTGGCTGCTGTCACCATCTGCAGTGATCATGGAGCCCAAGAAAGTAAAATCTCTCACTGCCTCCATTTCTTCCCCTTCTATTTGCCAGGAGGTGATGGGACCAGTGGCCATGATCTTCGTTTTTTTGATGTTGAGCTTCAGACCATATTTTGCGCTCTCCTCTTTCACCCTCATTAAAAGGTTCTTTAATTCCTCCTCACTTTCTGCCATCAAGGTTGTGTCATCTGCATATCTGAGGTTGTTGATATTTCTTCCGGCAATCTTAATTCCAGCTTGGGATTCATCCAGCCCAGCCTTTCGCATGATGTATTCTGCATATAAATTAAATAAGCAGGGAGACAAAATACAGCCTTGTCGTACTCCTTTCCCAATTTTGAACCAATCAGTTGTTCCATATCCAGTTCTAACTGTAGCTTCTTGTCCCACATAGAGATTTCTCAGGAGACAGATGAGGTGATCAGGCACTCCCATTTCTTTAAGAACTTGCCATAGTTTGCTGTGGTCGACACAGTCAAAGGCTTTTGCATAGTCAATGAAGCAGAAGTAGATGTCTTTCTGGAACTCTCTAGCTTTCTCCATAATCCAGCGCATGTTTGCAATTTGGTCTCTGGTTCCTCTGCCTCTTCTAAATCCAGCTTGCACTTCTGGGAGTTCTCGATCCACATACTGCTTAAGCCTTCCTTGTAGAATTTTAAGCATAACCTTGCTAGCGTGTGAAATGAGTGTGCCTCAATAAAGCATGCAGCCCCTTCCTGTTAGACTGAAGCAGTACTAAGTTCTGCCTTCAGGCAAATTATCCAACCTAATTTGTTTTCTGCAAGAAATTTTTTTCTGCAAGAAATCTAATTTGTTGGACTGCAAGAAGATCAAAAGATCAAACGCATCCATTCTTAAGGAAATCAGACCTGAGTGCTCACTGGAAGGACAGATCGTGAAGTTGAGGCTCCAGTACTTTGGCCACCTCATGAGAAGAGAAGACTCCCTGGAAAAGACCCTGATGTTGGGAAAGATGGAGGGCACAAGGAGAAGGGGACGACAGAGGATGAGATGGTTGGATAGTGTTCTCGAAGCTACAAACATGAGCCTGACCAAACTGCGGGAGGCGGTGGAAGACAGGAGTGCCTGGCGTGCTCTGGTCCATGGGGTCACGAAGAGTCGGACACGACTAAACGACTAAACAACAACAAACAACAAATTTGTTTTCCTTTCTTAAGACATTGAAATCAACAGAGAATCCTGCCATCCTTTGTTGTTGTTTTTCCATAGCAAACACTGTTGAAGAGAAAACTGAATCCAAATTCCCTTCTCTACCCCAAACCATTGCTCTGTCAAGTGTTGTTGTTGTTTACTTGTTTACTCGTGTCCGACTCTTCATGACCCCATGGACCAGAGCACGCCAGGCACTTCTGTCTGCCACTGCCTCCCACAGTTTGGTCAAACTCATGCTGGTAGCTTCGAGAACACTGTCCAACCATCTCATCCTCTGTCGTCCTCTTCTCCTTGTGCCCTCAATCCTTCCCAACATCAGGGTCTTTTCCAGGGAGCCTTCTCTTCTCATGAGGTGGCCAAAGTATTGGAGCGTCAGCTTCAGGATCTGTCCTTCCAGTGAGCACTCAGGGCTGATTTCCTTAAGAATGGAGAGGTTTGATCTTCTTGCAGTCCATGGGACTCTCAAGAGTCTCCTCCAGCACCATAATTCAAAAGCATCAATTCTTCGGCGATCAGATTTCTTTATGGTCCAGCTCTCACTTCCATACATCACTACTGGGAAAATCATGGCTTTAACTATAAGGACCTTTGTTGGCAAGGTGATGTCTCTGCTTTTTAAGATGCTGTCTAGGTTTGTCATTGCTCTGTCAAGTATACCTCCAGCCAAAAACCTAATGCTTGGGGTGAAAGAGAAAGGAGCAGCTTTGCTACGTTTGTGCCTGCTGAGCAGGCAAAAGCTGACACATTTGTCTTTCATTTCTATTCTAGAGCAGAAACCTTTAGGGTACTTCCAAGCAGTGGCTGTGATATTACAAGATTAGCTAGCTTGTTGTTGCAGCAAGACCAGCACAACATAATAATGGTGCACAATTGCTGTTGTAATGATCAGGGTGATAATTTTCATGTGGCAACAAGGTGCACTCTCAACCTTTCATTACCATCTCGCTATTTATGTAGGCAATTTTCTTCAAGCTATACATTTAAGTGACACTGGATGGAGGGCATAACATTTCTAACTGAATAGGCTTAGGGGCAAGAGCATTCAATGTCGGGCCATGGAATTCGCCTCTCATGCCGAGATTTTGGCACCCTGTTAGGCGTTCTGGTGTTCAGGTCTCACATACAGTGTAACCTCCATGTTCGATCAGGAGTTGAAGATTCTGGTGGCAGCAGGGTCTCGCCTCCAGCAGCTGCTTTGCTTGGCAAGCCTGCCACAGCTCTGGCTGCATTTGGGAAATGAACGACTTTTATGGAGGATAATAAACGCTGGGGAAAGCCTACCTTGCAGTCCTAATCATTACCACAAAAATGGCTTTGGAAACAAATGAGGTTGACAAGACACCATCCATCTCCATTGTTGATGTAAATAATATAATTAACCAAGAATGTTTTTTAAAGCAATGCTGGATTGCCAGCTTGGCATATCAAGGAAGAGCCCGTCCAAAACTCCAAAGCCTTGCTGACTTGGGCAGCTGTCTGGGCTGGCAGCCCCACAGCTCGAAACAGCAAAGTTAATTGACTAAGGGCAGAACTAACTGGGTGAACAAAACACCATTCTGGCAGAGGGAAGTAGCAACATGCAGAAATGCTTCTATTTCAGCAGTTTAAATCAGGAATCATTGTTGCCTCTAGTGCTGGCCCAGCTATAGACATGATGAGGAAGAACCCGACCGTCAACCAAGTACCCATTTTCTCCTTTCATTGATTATATAGACTTGCCTTCTCTCCAGCCGTACCCTTTATCACTGGCAATTATCTCATTTCTCCACATGCCTCACTGAAACAACTCTCTCTCCCTTCATGCACTTTCCCTAAAGCCTTTCAAATTTTTGTTCTCTTTCTCTCAACCACTTTTCTTCACATTGAAGTGACCAGCTCCGTCTACTGCAGTAGTACTGAAGGGAAGGTCATGCCATTCACGTAACACCATTGTAATTTGCACTGTTTTCCGGGCTATCTTCTATTCCCCTTTGAAACACAGGCTAACATCTTATTTGCTTTTAATCATCTCCATGCACTGAGCAGATGCTTTCGCTGAACTGTCTGCAAGGATTGTATCACTGTCTGCAATCAATTCCAATTGTTTCATTCAATCCAATGTTGCCACAAATTTAATTTCATCTACCATCACTCTGTTCAAGCTACTGGCTTTGTTAAGCGTCAAGGGAGCTCTTCACAGCCCTCTCTAGCCACTCACTCCTAATTGATGAGTTGTTAACAGTAAAAGGAAGGAACCTGGTTAGGCCATCTCTATAGGATTGTCCAGAATTATTACGTGACTGGCTTGTTTGCTGCCTTTTTAAAACCAGAATATGCAATGCAACTTACAAAACTACCAGCATAATACAAAGCAAGAGAAAGATGAAACGCCAGCTAAAACCACAACACATTTCAGCAAAAACAAACACAGCAATGTAAAACAGCAGCAGGACACATGATAAAAGCAGACTTCTAACAAAAGTTCACATATAAGATCATTGTCACTGCCTGCAGGCAGTGAGTGAGCTGTTATGTGCTTTGCTCAGGAGAATGGTCCAAATCCTGAGTGCCACAGTTGAAAAGGCCCTTTTCTGGATACTGATGTGCCATTTCATACAGCAGTTATAAAACCCCAAAAAAGGGCTTCTGCAATAGAATGACTGTCCCATGCTGGCTGAGATGGATAGATGTGATTTTGGAGATATTCTGGGTCCAACCATGATAGGTCAAAGCAGTGCTTAAACTGAGCTGCGAAGCAAGCTGGTAACCAGTGATGCTGGAGATTGGACAATTCCTATCAGAAACTTCACTGCCACATTCTGGATCAGTTGAAGCTTTAAGGCTGTATTCAAGAACAACCCCATACACAGCACTACAGTCATCTAACCTGGATGTAGCAAGTATAAACTAAGACATTGTACTATGAGACTTGTGTGAGTTCCTCAGAACTGGTCAAGGCAGGACTCCAGTCAGGGCTGCAGCTTTGCTGGTGGAGCAGCCAGCTGGATTTTATGGGGCTGAACCTTTACAAGCAGAGCCAGCCTAGACTACATCCTCCTATGCCTGGTTTGGGGATGAAGAGGAGGAAAGAGATGCCAGAATGACCATGGGGCTGGAGCAACTCACCTATTGGGAAAGGTTACAATGTTTGGAGCTTTTCAGGTTGGGAAAAAGGTGAGTGGGGACATGACAGAGTTGCACGTTGTGAAGAAAATGGATAGAGTTTTTCTCTGTCTCATATAATACTAGAACTTGGGGCCATTCAAAGAAGCTGAATGTTGGAAGATTCAGGACAGACAAAATAAAGGACTTCTTCACACAATGCAGTTAAATGATGGAATTTGCTCCCACAAGAGAATGATGGCCAACTTGGCTGGTGTTAAAAGAGAACTGGACACATTCACAGAGGACAGGCCTATCAGCAGCTACTAACCATGAAGGCTATAATCTACCTCTGCTGTCAGAAGCATTACATTGCTGAACGCCAGTTGCAATTCAGGTCTTGTTTGTGGGCTTCCCATTGGTATCTGGTTGGCCACTTTGAGAACAGGATGCTAGGCTAGATGAGCCTTTAGCCTGATCAAGGAGGGCTCATTTTATGTTCTTAGCAGGCTAATTTCACCGTTAAGAATGCAGGATTATCCTGATTGACCTGCAGAGACTGGGAGCGTTTACCCAAAATATCAGCAGGACTCCATCACAGAAAACAACAGTGAGACTACTTTTTTCTTCTCGCCTGCATCTTTAATCACATCTTGGGCTACTCTTGGGCTTCCTTCTTTATCTTAAATAAACTGAGGCTGCTTGTTTTCAGGAGTCTTTACTTATTCAAGCATTATTATGTTTTAAAATAAAAAATTAATAAAAATTTCACAGCACTTGGATCGACTGCCAAATAGTTAAAAGTCTGCCTCCTCCCATAGTAACACTTGCTCGAAGCAAGAGATGTCAGGAAGAAGAAAAGACAGCCTTTGACTTAACAGCCATAAATATTAGTAATGCATGAAAAGAGTATTATTTCAGGTGTGATTCACTCTAATCTGCAGTGAGCAAGAGAGATCATAACACTTCCAACATTTATATGAATGATAAAGACAGCCCCTTAGAAGCAAGACCCTGTTCTTGAAGTCCTTTCTATCCTTTCTCTCTCCCCAGTATTGCAGGAGTGCAATGCATGAATTTATCTGGTTATTCTAAAGGCCATGGCTACAGGGCTGGGGAGACTTTCACAGGAGAGTATGACCATGCCTGGAATGCAGTTTACCTTGATGGAAGGTGGCATTTGGTGGACAGCACCTGGGGAAGTGGCTCCATTGATGACTGCTTCAGCAAATTTACCTTCAGGTATGATTGTCCTTTCTTCCTCCCTATAGCTCTGGGGCACAGGGTGGGGATAAGCAAAACAGGTAGCTTTCCTTGGTCACATTCAAGGGCTCTGCAACATATACTATTTTATTTGCTTGCTTCATTTATAACTACAGTGGTACCTCGGGTTACATACGCTTCAGGTTACAGATTCCGCTAACCCAGAAATAGTACCTCGGGTTAAGAACTTTGCTTCAGGATGAGAACAGAAATCGTGTGGCAGCGGCGTAGTGGCAGCGGGAGGCCCCATTAGCTTAAGTGGTGCTTCAGGTTAAGAACAGTTTCAGGTTAAGAACAGACCTCTGGAACGAATTAAGTACTTAACCTGAGGTACCACTGTACTTATTGAAATCCGTGTCAAATTTCAGATTTGAAAGAGCAAAAGCATCATCAGGATGCAGGGCTTATCATTTAACCATAATGACCATTTACTTCACTATTCCAAGATATGTGTCTCAAAGGCTAAAGCATGAAAGGGACAAAGCCTCATTTAAAAAATAAATAAGGGTGTATATATTTTCTCCCCTCCCACCAATTGGCCCCTAAAAGTTCTCCTCAGGCTTCCACCTATGAGAAATGTCAAGCTCTTAAACAGGGTTGTTATAAACTAAGCATTAAAAAGACATAGAAATCTAACTAAACAAGTCCCCATTCTTCGAATGTTAATCTTTCCACTAACTATTAAAACCAAAACACTCCTGAAAGGTGTGAAAAGGAAATTAAGGCTTGGAAACAAATGGTAGAAATCCACTGGATCCAGATAGCCAGTGTTACTGGTAGTCTGGACAATGACCCACGTGAAGGATTTGATATTTCTCCATGTGATGACCTAGTATTGGGACAACCCATGTTGTAATCAGAAGGCCACAGTAATTAGAAATGAAACACAGATCACCAAGGCTAGAGACACCATGGGGCAAGCAACAGGCCAAACCAAGTTTACTTGCCAGTCTGAAAATCCCCACATTAGCTTATTATAGACCTTCTTTGGCACAACACAACTGAAGACGAGCATTGACTTTGAAAATGCATTTTCAGTAGCTCCTGCTAAAAATTAATTCTAAGAGAATCCTGTTTCCATTTGGCATTGTCCCTTAAACATAGAGGGACTACACTGGGTGTAAAGAGTTATTTCTTAACTGAAGTTGTTAAATTCCACGTTTTTGAAAATTTCACTCTCTAATGGCTAGAAAGATTGTTTTTTTCTTATTGCTCTTTCAAAATGCCTGATTTGCCCACATGCTTGGGAACAGAATTCAGCATTCTTAGAACTCCCATCTAGCCTTCCTTTATTTAAATTAAGTTTTTATCCCTTAAACCTGCAAACCTAGGCTTGAAAGTGCATGCAGAGAACATACAGTGGTACCTATAGTTACGAACTTAATTCGTTCCAGAGATCCGTTCTTAACCTGAAACTGTTCTTAACTAGAGGCGTGCTTTCACTAATGGGGCCTCTTGCTGCCGCTGTGCCGCTGGCATACGATTTCCGTTCTCATCCTGGGGCAAAGTTTTTCTCAACTCGAGGTAATTCTTCCAGGTTAGCGGAGTTTGTAACCTGAAGCGTTTGTAACCTGACGCATTTGTAACTTGAGGTACCACTGTATAGAGAAATCCAAGAAGCTGGGGAGGATGGAGATTTCAGTGCTTTGCATAATCCTGTCTATGTCTTGCTGAAGCAGAATGACTGAATTATGCAATTTAGGAAGTTTATGTAACCTCCCTACCTTAACAAACTATAGTTTATTCAGTTAGGAACAAGTTTTTGGCTTTCGCACATCCTTTCTGATCTTTAAAACAGCATCCCTGTTATATATGAAATTTCATTTGGAAATCTTTTTGGAAACATGGATTGCATGGGTGCATGTAGGATTGTTTTTATTGTTAAGATGAGCTGACAATGTTTTTTTTTATTGTATTTGCAAAATTTAAAAAAAATTAAAAACACATTTATCATATCATTTAATATCATTTAACTATCCAGGGCCATACTATGGTTTAAGATCCTGGTTAATATGCTAACACTAGTTCCTCACTAACATAACTAGCAACTCAACCTTAAACAGACCAGGACCGATATGAGGAAATCAGTGCATAAACTATGCATTATTAAGCCAGGAGCATTATAACCAAACTGGGCCATTGATAAATTACACTATAACAAGCAGCCTCATTTGACTGCTCCCTCTGTTCTACTGTATTCTCAGCCAAATCAGTCCGGCCCAGTCCCAAATCTACACATCTCATCTCTTCATTTTGCCTCCTAGACCTCAGCTGTGTTTCCTACCATCATTCCGGTCCTAATTTATGTACAGTTGAAAGGAAACCCCCATTGATAAACCTATCTAGAACTGCAGCCGTAGTTAAGATTCAGTACAAGGCAGAAAAGAGCACCCGGTGCCAGTGATGTATTGACCTCTCCTTTCTTGTTCCAGATACAACGAATTTTATTTCCTCACCCACCCCGCCCTATTTATTAATAATCATTTCCCAGACAACAGCAATTGGCAGCTCCTCAAACCAGCTGTGACATTGAAACAGTTTGAGAGCAACATGTTATATAAGAGTGACTTTTACATGATGGGATTGCTGGCAGCCCACCCAGAAACACCAATTATTCAAACAGGTACAGTGATACATGTCATTGCCCCATGCTGATCTTATTATAAGGAACAGTTCCAGCTTTTGGTAGGGGACTAAAAAAAAAGATAAAAGTAGCAAAGGTTAGGATTTAGGCTGCTGGGTTACTTTTAAAAGATTAGCTCTGTGGGACTAAAGCATGGGGTTCAAAGTTCTGCAGCCTTTTTTGGTCATAATCACCATTACCCTTGGGGTACCAATTGGTGTAAAATACAAAGTGCTATTTATTACCCATCAGATTGCTTTTGCCCCAAGAATATTTATATTCCAGCCTGAAGTGAAGGGGAAAGTTTCAAAAAATTCTGGGCTGAGGCTCAGAGCCTTATGTGGGTGCAAGTTAGTACACTTGAGTTTCAGAAGCTCCCCATCGTGTCATTCAGAACCTAACCATGGAAGGAATAATTTCATTTTGAAATCCTGTCTTTTGAACTCTCTCAGACTTCTCTGAAACTGACAAGTTTCTAAGGGGTTGTAGTCAAAAGTGCAGGCAGCTTGAGCTGTAACTGAAAGACATTGGTGCTTTCATCTTTTCCAAGAATGATGAGCAATTCTACTGCATTTGTAATAAAACAGAAGCAAACAAGTACCCGAAAATGAAGGCTTCCCGCCCTTAACCCTCTTGTTATTTATTCTGAATTTGGACTTGACAGACGCTTGTCAAATTCTAACCAGCCAACCATAATATTCTCCCTTTCACTGCCAAAATGATTGACAGTTCAGCAGGCAATTCCATTCTCCAGGTCATTTTCTCCAGCTTTTTTTTTTTTTGATTGATTTGTATTTTTGAGTAAATAGTAAGAAACATCCTAACCAGCCTCCTTTATTTGCATGTCACAGTAAATGGGAAAGTAGTAGTAGCTGTGGAGACTCGTTTGCCGATGCTGTTCATGTTTGAACTGAAAGGGGCAAAGGAATATAGCTTGATGACTCTGAAGAGGAATGGGATGAATCTGGAGCTCTACCCACAGAAGACGGGGACCCATAAGCTACAGATCTACGCCAAACCATCCAAGAGCTCAGATGAAGTCTACAAATGTGTGATAGAATATACATTAGAGTGTAGCTCTGTAGACAGGAACGTCTGCTTTCCAAAGGAACTTCATCAACCTGTTGGGCCCAGCTGGTTCTCAGAGAGACAAGGATTCCTCAAGCCCTCGCAAAAAGGCCCAATCATTCATACCAGTGACGGGCGCTACGATCTCAGCTTCATCCTCAGTAAGGACTTGAGTGTTTTAGCTTCCTTGCATTCGGGCAACGTAAGCCTCAGCGAGGATACAACAAGACGGCACATCTTGCAAGCTTGCCAAGGAAACCAGGTAGACTTTAAGATCCATCTTCCTCATGCAGGGAACTTTGCTTTTAAAATCTTTGCGAAAAAGAAGTCTGATCCTGGAAATTATAACTATGTCTTCAACTACCTCATCTGCTGCCCAAACACCAAGGTGAAATGGCCAGTGTTCCCCCAGACATATAGCAAGTGGGTGGAGGGTTATGAGCTAGTGGAGCCGCTAGCCGGGTTGCTCCCTGCTGACCGCAACGTCAAGTTTAAACTCAAGCTTCATAGCATTGCCAAGGCATTTCTTCAATGTGAAAAAATCTGCCCCTTGTCTTTAAGCAAGGATGGCTACTGGGAGGGATCTTGCAGCACATCAGGCTGCACAGAGGTCTATGTGATGGTGCTGGAAAATGCCAATCACAAGTTCTACTCTCACATCTTGAAATATGAAGTAGAGCCACAGTAGGAGGCCACTCCCACTCTTATCATCTGTCCACATGTGCAGCGAGATCTGATATATCACAGTTCATACCGCTCTCGAGTAATTCCTTAAGGCTCCCTTAACATTGGGGAATAGCGCTCACCCCTCTCTGAAGCACCAACAAAACAATACAACTTGATCAAAACTTCCTGAATGGTATTACACAATGAGTGGCATTTGTAGGAAATGTATAGTTTCTTTACCAGTGTAACGTCATACTTCCCATATACATAATTTCAACTATAGATTATTCTTGTGCTACGGGCATAGTACATTTTGCACATTTCCCCACCTCCATTTTAGGATGCAACTGCTGATTTCTGAATGGCTTACATTCAACAAATATGTTATGGGCAACAAAGGGGCATTCTCTAACTCATTGTGAGCCAGGAAGAGAGAAGGACCACACACTTTTGAGCATCAATGTGAGAGTGGCTGCAGAATCTCATCAAAGCACATATTGGTGCAAGATTATAATCCAAATGGAAGCTTTCTTGTGTGCACTTCATTGTCTTACAAATATAAATGATACTGCGAAAACAAGTTTTTACACCAGATCTTAAAAGCAATTAAATACTAGTTTTTATCTCATTGGGCTGTGGTGCTTTTTAAATGACATGGTAAGGAACATGTATGTGAACAAAAGGGCAATTTAATTCTTAACTAATTTGCTACCTATCAATAAAAAAAGATTGTGCTGCTGATTCTAGGAAATAGCAATTCACCAAGTATGAAACATAGTGGGATAACCAAAGACAATCTTGATGACCTGCACAGAATGAAACACGAACACAAAGGTATCATAGATAAAAGTTAGCTTCTATATAAACACATGAACCCTTTTGGTCAAACATGGATAGTTTAGTATAACAGCAAAGATCTGCGGTTTAAGTCAGAAAATGAATTTATTTTAACACAAGTTATAATCTGTCTAATCTTCTATATGATCAATAGACTGCAATTTGCTTTTTAAAAAATCCTTGTATCTAATCAAAATTCAGGGAGCTGACTGGATAGCCCTGGAGGTTGTTCAGCGCTGTGACATTAATTTTTTATTACAAATTTCATATATTCATTGAACCATATGGATTCCTTGCCTAGACCAAAAAATAGCAATTCGTTTTTTTCCATGGGCCTTTAAAAGTTTTGTTTTACCAGTTTTTGTAGGAATATATATACTTGAAGCAAGCCCCTGTGTCAAATGAGTAATTCTTCCTGCTGTGACTTGGTTCGCACCAATAGACAACAGTTTAAGGACTAATATAGATGGTCAAGTGGCATGTGTCCCAATTGCATCTTCCCCAACAGCAGCTTGAATGAAGGTGCTAATACTACCCAATCCGTTATTCAGCTTTGGGGAAGCAGAAGGGAAGATAGCTACGCTCCTGTTCAAACAACTTCCGACCCACCACACTTTAAATTGTAGTACCCACTGGAAGAAGCCAAGGAAAGACTGTGGATGCAATAGTCAATGACACTCTGAAGAGTGATGAAGCACAAGGTGGTGCAAGCATGACACACCACATATATAATTAAAAGAACATTGCAAGATGAGCTTTGTAGGGTCTCTAAAGGAGGGGAGCACTCATTTAGTAAAAAAAATCATAAAGTAAAAGGGAAAGTTAAAAACATGAGAGGAACATTTTGGCACTCTCATGACTCATAACTTTCCAATAGGCTCCTGTGTCATTTTTGTAATATTGTACAATCACATTACATGCAGCCATTGTGTTAGCTATATTATTTTAGAGGATCCAAAGAATTAAAGTTCCTTTAGAGGTGAGTTGGAGCGTGATTGTGCCAGCCATACAGACAACATCTGCCAACTGATGAGTGACAATTGCTGCTACCCCTGTCTGTTGTTACCCCAAAATTATAATATGGCCTGGGTAAGTAAGTTTGAGAAGGGTTCCTTTTGTCACTCTTGAACCTACTGCTGTATTCAGCTTCATCTACAGATCCTAAAAACGGAGGAAGAAAAGTCTCTTAACCCAGATGTCTGGAAGGCACCATGTTGGCTACCCCCAAAATGCATACAGTAACTGGGATTGTGTGCTGTAAAGCAGGAAGCAGTTGATAGAAATCTTGCATCTGCCATAGACTGATTAGGTGACTTTAACAAACCCTTCTCTTTTTCTATATTTGGAAACAATACCAGCCTACCCAACATAGCTAGGAGGATTACAAAGACTTTGAACACTCTTATCATTGTTTTATTCTACACTTTCACATCACTAATGGATCATTAGAAATTTCTCGGAAAAGAGAAAGCCCTGCATTGCTTTCTGAAGGCTTACGCTGCAGGGCTCTGTTAAGCCTCCTAGGGAAAACAATTTCACAGGACTCCGATACTAAAAGGCCCTGCTCTGGGCTATAAACTAGATCTTACAGAGCACAAAAAAATGGTATTTGGTGCAGGGCTGCCTCTAAGGAAGTTAAAGGACAAGCAAGCTCAGCTGCTGGATGCAATCTTCTATATCTGATGTGAAGGCAGATAATACTGAACACCAGCCAAAGCATAATCCTTAAACTTTCTCTGAACTCTTTTACTGAGGATTACCAATTAAACCTACTAATATAATACACATTGATTCTCAGTTTTTTTAAAAAAAATATGTAAAGTAGAAGGCGAACATCTGGCTCAGCCTTGCAAGCAAAAAGGAAACTCTTTGGTGTTATTAAAAGGCTCAGTTCAAAGAAAAAACTCCCCTCCAGCTTCATTAATTATAAAACTGTTAAGGCCAACTGATTATTCCAAAGGGATGTTCAACATTCTCAAGGCATAGATGAATGCATGGAAACCCTGCAGCCACAGATAAAAGTGCCTCAGAAGTCTGCACTAGCTTTGTCATCACCCTCCAGGATAAACAACCTTCCTCCACCTCCAAAACATGCATATTTACAGTCTCAACACATATTAAGCCCACTCAAGAGTTTTTGATGATGTAGCCCACAAACTACACATAACTCCTAATATATTTTTTTCTTTGCCCTTAACTCATCAGTCCTTTCTAGCATTTCCTGTACTCTATATGCACGGGGAAGCAACAAGCAGGAATACCAACCTCCTTGTGCAATTTGCTCGTCTCAGATTGCTGTCCATTTTGGGACTAACAGTTTGCCCTGCCAAAGTACAGCACTGTCTCAGGTTCTTGGCACCTCTGTTATTACAACTCTCTTTCCAAGAATGAACCAGTGTTTCCCCTGAATTAAAAAAACACAGTAACCAACTCTGTTACATGAAGCAACACGAGTGAAGTGGCACAGAACATTTTTGTACCTCTTTCGGATCAGATAGGCCTCCAGGAAAAAAAATTTGATACACCCAAATTAGTTTTTGATTTAAAGCAATTTGTGTTGAATCAGAATGGAGGGGTGAGGGGTGAGCCACCAAAGATACTCCTCACCAAATACACTACTTTTGCTCTATACAACATAGAGATGCCCCACAGTTTTTTAGAAGGGACTGAGCAATGTTAAGATGTTAGATATATTTACAAGAGAATGTTAAGGTGCTCTCGTCTTTGCCCAATTATGAATGTCACAAAGGGAATTATATTGAACTCGATGGCGGCATACACAACATCCTTGAAGATTTAGCAAGGTAGGAAAAAATATGGCTGCTACAAGGCATATTTTATATCCCAAGATACACCATGCATTTCAAATTTTTAAGAAGCATCTTCTTTTCTTTCCACTGATAATGTTCTCTAAGGAATGTTTGCCTCCACAGCACTGCACAATCTGGAGCACTCATTGCTACACTTTATTTTCTACCCTCTGCATTACTGGAGGTCAACTTAAAGATCATCATACAGTAGGAAATGAATGGCCTTTGGGGAAACATCAACACTGGTTTGACGCCAACTCTGTCAAACATGATACAATAGCCTTATGCACTGCAGAACCTGCAAGCCAGTCAGAGTTCTCCCTGGTTCAAAGAGCAAACTGTCAAACAGGAGATCACAGAAAGCCACAGTTGCTGAACTCTCCTGACCAACACTCAACAGTGGGAAAATTTTCATCTTCAAGTCACAGAATTTGAAGAATTTTTGTTCTTCTCATTCAGTAGCAGTCCATTTTAAAGGCTGTCATATTTGTGACTAAGTGATTATTTTTGTACTCTTAAGTTTCACAAAAACAAATCACAACATCTCTGAAAATGCATCTGGAATGGATTCATAACTATTCACGTTTTCAGGGATCCAAAACTTAGTTTGCTGGCCACTCCCATAGAAGTCACCTCTATGTGCAGGGAAAGTCAATCCCAATGTACATGTCAGGTTCCTCATGTATGACAGAAGTTCCTTGCTCAGTATGAAGGGCAAAATTACAAGGTCTCCCTGTCTGACTTCTGTCTTCCAAGGAGTAAATCTGTAGCATGTGTTTCTTGACTCGAGCAGCTGTTTCCTGTACTTTCAGTCCCTCTACTCAAAATGTTAACACCAGGGCTCTTACACAAGAAATGACAGAGTATACTCACTTTGCTGGGGCAACCACCCAACCACTTTTTCACACACAAAAAAAAAATTGCTCTGTGTGCTTTGACAAGAACTGTTCACCATTCCTACAAAACAACATAAATTTAAAAAAATGTCTGTCTTCATGCCACATTTGATTTCATATTGTCTATCAGTGTCAAGCTGCTGTGAGAGGTGTTGACGAAGAATGACATGAAGCCATAAAAATCAAACACAGCAAGCAAAACGCAGGAGTTAGCACACTGGAAAGAGGTTGGTGATGTACAGAGACTATTACATTTATGACGGAGGCAAACATCAAAAAGCTGCTCTTGCAGAGCAGGAATTCTCCTGAATCAAGATCTAGAAGGTTGTTAATTATGGCCAGCCTTCTAGCAGCAGTAACATCCTCAGCTTGGCAACAAACCTTTCTGCATCTAGAAATACAGATGTTCTCCACTTTCTCAAGATCATCCATTCAGCAAACAATAATTAGCATTAATACCATCATGTATATGGGAGCAAATTCAAGTTAAAACCTCTAAATATATATGTTATTGAAAAGGGGAGGTATTGGTCACATACAGGGGCTTCTCTGACATATAGAACAATAAATGAAAGGTATAGCCTACATGCAGATGAACAGAAGCCTTTGAAAAGGAAAAGCAAGAGATTTAGAATTTAAATGAACACATGGATTATTCTAAGGATTCAGGGGGCAAGGCTGAATATCTCCACCATATTCATATTTCACTGAAAATATTTTAAATCTAGTAATTCATTTTAGTAATTGGATTATCAAGGGCCAATAAGCAAAAAGGATTAATTGGGGTGGGAATGGAAGCCTAATGCTTGGGATCTTGGTTTCTGCTCAAGGACACATTTTTAAAGATACACATTTCTTGTTTAAGCTAAAACAACTTTTTAATAGCTGTCTGGCAGATTGACCAGCCTTCTAAATTTGCTCTTATGGCTGTGAGCAGCTGCTTAGTACTTCATAAGGCAGCTGTTGTTGAAGTAAAATGGATTTCATGTATAGGTGTTTATTACTTACATTGAACTTCACCTTCTTCCAGCAAAACACCCTCTCTTTTCATGGAGTATCTATTTCACTGCATTTTGTCCTCTTCAACTATGAAAGAAAAATAGTAATAAAACAGACCCCCAATGGAACCACTACCACATCATTATGTAGTGTTTGGTATGCAAGTGATAGCAACACAAAGTACAGGAAACTCCAACTCTACAGGAAAACTAAACAGGAAGCAAAATCACAACTCCTTTTCTTGGTTTCTCAAACTGTTTGAATAACATATTTCATGGAATAAACATCAAGCAAAATTGGAAGCAAAAAGTAACCTAATTCCCAAAATGGTCAGCAACATGGGTTGTAACGATATAAGAAGATGGGTTAGTTGTCATTTTATTTATTCACATGGATATATACATATAAAATAATTTATTTTCTTTTACAAAAAAAAAGCACTACATCATTCCCTCCTGAAAATCACTGCACACTCTTGCGCTGCAGGACTTAATAAGGCATCTAGAAAGTAGTACAATTACTGCCCCCAGACATAATGCTTTGCTCCAGACAAACTTCATTTCCTTGGTTTCACCACCACTAAAACCAGGAAAAAGAAGAGAAGCCCCTTTCTAGCTGCTGAAGGCTCCCTTGGTCCCCTTCTTGATGCATCTTATATTAAGCCAGCTTTCCAATCCTTGGGTCTTGAAGCAATGTCACTTTTGGTGTTTGAACTGCTGTATTGTCATTTCACTCTCCTTTTTCAACTCCTCAATGTGTGCATCTAAGCGTTCTAAGATATGTTGAGATCTTTCTTCTTCCTCCTCCAAGAACTTGACAGCAATCGCACCAATGTTTGTTGTAGGCAATGGGCTCTAAAAATAAAACATATATGTTGAACAGGACTCAACCAGAAGATTATTTCTGGCCTACTGCTACATTTTACTATTTAACTGCATCAATGGATAGAAATCCCCTAAGCCAGTGTGGTGTAGTGGTTAAGAGCGGTAGTCACGTAATCTGGGGAACCCGGTTCGTGTCTCCGCTCCTCCACATGCAGCTGCTGGGTGACCTTAGGCCAGTCACACTTGTTTGAAGTCTCTCAGCCTCACTCACCTCACAGAGTGTTTGTTGTGGGGGAGGAAGGGAAAGGAGATTGTTAGCCGCTTTGAGACTCCTGAAGGGGAGTGAAAGGTGGGATATCAAACCCAAACTCTTCCAAAACTCTTCTAAGCAAAGCATCATCTCAGCACTGTTGGTATATATTTAACCCTGAAAAATGTGAAAATGTTGTATTATATAGTATTTGGCTTACACCATCATCCAAACATGTTAACTTGGAGATTAAATCTCAATTATTTCAATATAGTTTGCTTTTAAGAACACACACACCTAAGCTTTCATCTATTGAGCTTAGATTGGGTGTGACAAAGTTGAACATTAGAAATCATGACTGAAAACTCTAGTAATTATTATTTGCCTTTAAAACACTAAGTTAATTGAAATATTTTTAGGATTTCAAGTCACAAAAATGTGGCTGACTTCTGATTAAACAAGGTTAGGATTGAACTGTAAGCCTTTCATGCTCCCCTCAAGAGTCTCAATATACCTCAGCAAGCTATGGTCAAGGAGTCACATCTTTCAAAAATAAAATTATAGGATGGAATTCAATGCCACACACTTCTAATCGTTTTGTCTGCACAAGTATTTCAGCTTGTCAGACAGAATGAACCCCACCTCTCCTCCCTCCGCATGTTCTGGGGTTTCTCATTGGGGCCTCAAGGCAATTTTGGGGTCATTGCGGGTGGGGAACCTTGTTACACAAGCAAAAGTCCTTAGTTGAGTTAAACCCTAAATGCACAACCAATAGAAACTGTGTAAGTGTAAGAGGACATATGCTGCCTTTTCTGGAGCTACTATACTAAAGACCTACATTGCACATGAGTGTATCAATAGCTCATATTATAGGAACAACTTAATATCAATGTTTCAGTTTTCTTAATACTAGACATTGCAGGCACCAAATCCTATTCCACCCACTTCAGTGTGTCCACTTCCACATGGTTCTCCATTGCAAGAGCTACCATTATAATGTCTCAAGGCCATAATCACACCACACATTCAAGACATTATAAACACACATGACGTCCCCCATAATTCTGGGAGATGTAGTTTGTTAAGGGTAGTGAGAGTTGTTAGGAAACCTCTAGTCCCTTCACAGACCTACAATTTCCAGAGTTCCCTGTGAAAGGGGGTTGACTGTTAAACCACTCTGAAAACCTGTAAAGGAACCATAGCTCCCAGAATTCTTTAGGGGAAGCTGTGACTGTGGGTTTGAAGTACTTTGAATGTATTGGTGTGAATGTTGTTTACAGCTTTCCTAGGAGAGAGGTAGGCATGATAAAGAGCTGCTTATCCATAGAAGGAATTGCAGCTTGCCAGCAACGAACTCACTGCTAGCGCAGCGTTGGCCAATCTCACCATGCCATGTGCGTGCATGCAAACCACTAGCAAAGAAAGCACAGGGAATTGGGAAGAAATGATGGAGAAGCAGGACCTATGAGCAAGCCCTCCCTGTTCGCCCATGTTTTCATCCAATCTTAAGCCCAGGCTTTGATAAGCAGCAAGTCAACTGAAGAGGGGCAGTGGAATCCGCTTTGGTCTGCATGGAGACAAGGAACAATTCAGTTGTACTTGGGACACCCCTTTCTGTGCCTCTTGTCAACAAGCTGCTGCCACCTGCTGTCCTACTACAGAATCCTTGCAGTCTTCATTTGAACAGAGGTTTCATGGCATTTGGAAGACTTTTTCAAATAAGATTTGTCTAGTCTAACACACACATCAAACATTTGTGGTTTTACATTAGGCACCACACTCAACCCTCGCGGATTCTGCATATAACTTGGTGTGACACTTCGTTTCATGCTTACCAAAGACAGGAGTTCTTTCTCATTCTTGCCGAACATATAAGTAAATTCACTGTTTCCATGTGGCAAGGAATCTGATCTCAGAAGGGGATCACAGGACAAGGATTCAACAGAGTTGCTCCTGCTGATCTGGGGTGACAGTCCATCAGCTGTACTAAAAACTCTTCTGGTTGACAAATGCTGCACCTTTTGAATTTCTTCTTCATAGTGCTGAACAGTCTTGTCAAATTTATCCTGAAGTACTCTCATTTCTTCTTCATGCTTACACTGCAGCTCTTGCAGTCTCCTGAACATGGATTATTAAAATAAATAATTCACTCAATACAGACCAGCTCTTCTCAGCTGCAAATATTATGCAAGAACGTTTAGGAACAAACTGTTTTCAGTTCCAGGGGGGAAACACATGCAGTGCACAGAGACTTCAAGGTGTAACAGCAGAATGACTTTCTGCAGAACTCCATAGTCGTTAAGCTATACTAGGATTTCAGCCATTGTAAACAATTCATCAGAACAAACGAAAAACTTGTTGAATACATAGATCTTACCTGCTTTCCACATTCTTTATCTCAGTCATCTGCTGCTGCATCTGCTGCATGATATTCTCATATCTGCCCTGAGACCTGCGGGAGGAGGCTTCCAGGCTGGCTTTAGTTTCTGCTAGTTCTTTCAATAATCGCTGGTTTTCAGACTCCACCTTATTTAGGGCTTTGGTATAACTTTCCTGGAATTCTGCCAGGGGGGCACTTTTTCCCTTAAGGTGACAGAAGTGCTTTAGTCAGCGCTGCTGTGTTTGTTCACCAGCCCAGCTTTCCCTAGAAAGTTTGATTTTGTATTGCAAATTTAAGAAGTAAATTTTCCAAGTCTTCTACTAGGAAAAAATCCCTTCAGAGTGTAAATCAATCACCAGCTGTCTGAATGAGTCTACATCTAGAAAGACCAAACTAATCAAACCTACATAGGTACAAGCTTCCCTCATTCATCTCAATTGGGTGTGAACTTCAAGACCAATTTGTGATCACTTAAATGTCAGTCACATTAAATGTGTTCCAGCTGCACAGCTCACCACTAACACCAAAGCCAATGGGACTGCTTGCTTGTACCTGGATATACAAAAAATCTCCTGACACTCCATTCATTTGAAACCACTGTGTGATTAGTGTATTTGCCAACTGCAGAGAAAAGCTTAAATAACCAGCTGGGACTGACCCCTCTAGAGTCACGAGTTCAAGATCCTATTACCACGAAATGCAACCACACATGCACACACAGATCAGAGCATAACTGACATCAGCTGAGCAACACTGAGCAAACATATCCATTTTTGAAATATCAAGTTTTTAGCTCAGTAATTTCCCTTAGTAAGATTATTTAACTCAGTCAGCCTCTACCCCATCTCCTTCACTTCCCTATTCTAATCAGCTTGCAAGAGCTGCAACATATCTGCAAATGCTGAGATGTCATTCAAGATTTTCAAGTGAAATTTCCTTCTGTATTTTCAAGTGGAGACGTAGAACATTATCAAACCTGCTCCCTACCATTTGTTTCTTGTCACATCAAAATGTTGAAACGGATTTTGTACCATGTGATCTAGATTAATTTCATTTCAAAATATGAATACAGTGGTACCTCGGGTTAAGTACTTAATTCGTTCCAGAGGTCCGTTCTTAACCTGAAACTGTTCTTAACCTGAAGCACCACTTTAGCTAATGGGGCCTCTTGCTGCTGCGCCGCTGGAGCCCGATTTCTGTTCTCATCCTGAAGCAAAGTTCTTAACCTGAAGCACTATTTCTGGGTTAGCAGAGTGTGTAACCTGAAGCATATGTAACCCAAGGTACCACTGTATACTTGTAAACTGAAGAACAAAATCAAACTCAGAATCCACCCCCGCCCCCCATACACCATGGAGGCTGTAGGGACATGACTCCCACCCCTCTATGCAGAGGGATATTGGACTCATGAGCTGCTGCCCTGCTTACCCTATCTGTTGTAAAAATGAACACCTGGACAAGGAGATTTTCCAAAGTCTAGGGAGATCCCATGTTCAAACTAATGCAGGATCAATTTGGTTCACTTCTCCCCATAATGACAGAAGTGGGGAAACAGATGGAAGGAAACCCGAGGCTCACACGTTGTCTCACAAGGTACAGAAGAGACTGTGTGTGTGTGTGTGTGTGCGCGCGCGCAATGTCTGAACAGCCAAATTATCTCACTTGATTATAAACACAAACCAAATTGTATTTTCTTAATACCTACTAAAATTAAATGCCCTAGACAAATCTTTACTAGTATTCCATTTTCAATGTTTTGTTCTCAAATGCTTGTTTTCTCCAGAGAGCTTAAATTATGGGGAGGGGTGGGGAGGGGCACAAAAAGACACCACCCTCTGATATGCCCACTTTAATTACCAATATGAGACAATTCTGTCTGCTGCAGCCATGTGCAGAAAACAAGTTCCACCAGTTCAGCAACATTCATCAGGGGAAATCATGTGCAACAGTGTTCTTATTACTGAGAAGAGACAGCACAATTTTTCTGTGACAATGTGGATGGGCTTCAAATTACTATAACTATGTGTAGGGGTTCAATCAAAACATTGTGTGAGCAGGCTTTGAATGCCAACTTTTATTGCAATGTTTCATTTTATACTCTTCCTTCACTAACATTGTACTGACACCTAGTGGGCCCAGAAAATAAAATATACATAGTTCAATCTGTCCATCTTTCTATCCTAACGCTTAGGATGTTTAGTCAGAAGTCTCACCAATTTCACTTAAACCCCACTGTGACTTAACCTGCAAGCTTCAGTATAAAAATATCAAATCACCTTTCAAAGCTTTGTATAAATATATGAAAGATGCACTTGCCTGCGCAACACACACAAAATCCAAGTGTTTTCTAGAGAGACTACAAGTGCACAACACTTCAAATAGCACATCCCATCACACCAGACACTTACCTTCTGAAGAATTTCTGAGAGCTGGTGATTGTCTTGCTTAAGAGATTCCAACTGCGACAAAACAGCCTGAAGTGACAGGGTGGGGGATGGGGAGAAGTTACCATTTTTCCCGTTAGTATATTTCACATGGAGGAACCATATAGCCCATAAACTTGTGCAAATCTGAGAATTGCAACCTTAATCTTAGCAAGTTTCTAGCCCTCATAGCTAACTCTGAAAATGTGGTGCCAATACAGCTAAAGGGTCTGGAACATACATTCAACCAAAGAAGTGTCATCCCACAACATATGGTTTCCTCTAATGCAGGGCTCACCAATCAGGCATCCATGAGTGCCATCATTCCTGCAAAAGCCGCCTTCATCATTAACCCACAGGCAGGGCCCCCAGACTCTGATATCTCATTTTTTAAAAATAAATTTCTAGCCATCCTAGAAAGTTATAAAGCAAAATGTACTGGCAGCTTTCTATGAAATTTCTGTGAAATTAGCCAGCCTGGCTACTCCCAGCTGGTAGTGGTTTTTGCCAATGAATACATGAGAGCTGTAGTTCATAAATGAGTTGTTTGGACACCAGGCGACAAATATCCCTGGGGTCCCAAAGAGCAGCTGTTTCCTCCTCTCCTTTAGTGGCCTCTCTGCTTCTGTGTTATTTTTGAGACCTCAGACTTTCCATAGTTTGCCTTTTCTTTTTCCCTAGTAACCAAGTGTGGCGTTTGCCCAGTCTTTGGGGATACGTTTGTATTGGGGGAGAGAAAGGGTTAATAGGTTTACCAATAAGAAAGCCTGGCGGAGCCTACCTGATTTTGAGGCTCAGCCCAGAGGTTTTGACAGTTAGTTAGTTTGGTTGGTTCTTTTGGGGGGGGGGAGATAGAGGAGTCAGAGTGAGTTAGAAACAGGGACAAGACTGAGAGGGAATAGACTGGCAGCTTTTCGAATATATTTTAAAACTTGTTTGTGTTTGAAATAAACTTTAATCTTCATTGTTAACTCTACCTGAGACTCAATACTTCACCGGGGAACCCTGGGTTTTTTCCACAAAATTGGTGGCAGCAGAAGAATAAAGTAGTTTTGTACAGGTCAATAGTCTGTGAAACAACCGGGGGCTCTGTATGAACACCACACCAAGCTACATCTTTCCTGCAGTGGGTTCATCTGGGATTGGGTATGCCCTAGAAATTATTTTTTCTAATATTAAAAAATCTCTACTCCTCTACCAAATGCAAAAGTGAAAACTTTATGAAAGAGGCTTAGGCATATCTCCTACCTGCAGAGAAGCTAAAAACCAGGGACTCATTAAGAATTCACTGCAGAGTTAACTTATAGTAAAATGGTATACATGTGTTTAATGGGGCACTTTAGGGTATGGGTTGGGGTTGGCATTGGGGAAAACCAGACTTTTTGTGCCTTTAACAGCTGTGCGGAAAAGGCTTAGCCTTTTCCAGTATGGAAATACAATTATAGAAAAAGCTTCACCATGACTGCACAAATTTTTTGTTATGCCACCCCTCCCACGGCAGGCATGTTGTGATTGGTGCCCACAGCACTCTTTCAAAATGCAAGATGGGCCTACTGCTCCATAAAGGTTTGCAACCCCCTGCTCTAATTGCTATACATCAAAATATTTTGAGGGATAATAGCCTATTTACCCTGTGCTCCACTGCCTTCCGTTCTGCTTTTTCAATCTCCATTTTTAGTTGCTGCTCCAAGTTTAAAGTACAACTATTTGATGAGGCAATTGTGATGTCGCGCTGGTGAAGCTCCCGTGTTAGCTGAGCAACCTCCTGCTTCATTCCTTCTAACTCACTGTTGTGACTATGTTCTTTGTGCAATAGCTGCTCCTTCAGCTAGACAGAAACATATATGAAATTTGCAGTTAACATTTCACTGATTATCAGAAATCTCAGCATACGAAGCTCTCTGGAAGCACAACGTCCTCCAGTTGCTCACTACTTAATCCTAGTGAGCAGCACTGTTTCATAATTCATTCAGTACTAATGCACAGTGTAATAGTTCTGCCTGTATACATTGATCTCCTGCATTCTTAGGGCAGTTGTATTTCATTGAAACGGGGGATTAATGATAAATTAACAAATTACCCACAAGTGGACTGGCAAACTGAATTATTCACATTATAACAATGCCCCCTGACTGTTCCTGAGCTTCTACTGCACACTAAAGTGCAAATAAGACAAATATTTTTTAAAATATTACCAAAAAAAAGGTAATCAAAAAAGGTGATAGGTGCCAATAGTCTAATTGTAAGCACCATTTCAAAAACTAATGCTGAACACAACTGAACACTAAAAAAAATTGCTTTTCATTCTATATGAAATACTCACTGACCTAGCCATTGGACCAGGCTGAGCTATTAAACAAAATTATGGGAAGGACTTAAGACACAGAAACTGAAGAAGCTGATTGTTGCATAGTTTGTTCCAATCTATGGACTAAAAAATCCCTAAAATGAACATCAAGCCACATCAGAGAAAATTCTTAACTTAATACACAGATGGCATCTAATACATAGACAAAACTCAGAAGCAACCATTGAAAATAAGGGTGCTTACTAGGTATAATGGGGCTTTCAGTAACAACATCGATTCCTACAGTGCCCAAACCTATTTTAAAATGATATATCACTGCACATCTTTTATTTGCACAAAAGGCCCTCACCTTTTTTATCTCAGCCTTGGCCTGGCAGAGGTGCTCTTCTGTCAGCTGCAGCTCCTGGCATTTCTCAGTTAGCAATTCACTCGGCGGGGCATGGTTTGCATTTGCAGAACCCAGGCTACATTCCAAAATGGTACAAGCACAACAAAACACAAAAGACTTTGTAAACTATTGCAGCAAGTCGCTACAGAGAGAAGAGTGGCAGCCATTTTGCAATTATCTGAGCCCCCGCAAAAAAATCTGATGCACAAATCCCACTGAGCAACATCCAAGTTACAGAAACTTTTCCTTGGTAGCTTGTGGCTCACTCAACAATTCAACAGTTGATGAGAAGTTGTAATTTTAGTCACCTAGCAAGCATATATGATTCTTAGACCTTTGTATGAGATAAAAATGTCTTAAATTACAGTCAGGCATCTCCAAGGAAGAATGTCCTATTTGTATAACCCTAAATAAATTACTAAACTAAGCCACCATTAGAGCCCTCTGCTACAGTAAAGATGCAGAACATATCTTCTAAATTCAAACTCTTTTGTAAAGGTGGAGAAATTTCTGCGATGATCATCTACCTGCCCTCAAGATGAATCATTTCAGGATGATCTAGCTGCAAGTGTATGTTGTCCAACTCTGTTCTGCTACGATAGATTCTATTGGTTCCTTCACTGCTCTGCAGGCACTCTTCCAGTGACCTGTACAGGAAGACATGTGAGTTCCTGAAGATTGTAGCCTTCTGACATCCAAATTAAATCAGACACACCAGTTCTAGTAGATGTGCAAACAGACCCACAACACAGATGAATATTGCAATGCTTGTTTCTGAAGTGCTAAATATATGATTAAAATAGAAAGTAGTACCTCAACTCTGCATTAACAGCACTTAACAGTCAATGAAATAATCGTGGAAGAAATAATCATGTTCGCCATCCGCGTTGCAAATGAAAAAGGGAACAGCGCAGCCCTTGCATGTTACTCACCTTAAACTCTGGCCAGGCAGAGCTATGGCCCAGTTCACATGTAATGCTAAGCCAAACCATACTAGAAGGGAGATTGTGGCAACTTTGCTTCCCCACTGGTACTGGTACTGCTACTGCTGTGATATAGGCCATGGTTTGGCTTAGTGTGTCATCCGAATCAAGGTTCATGGTTTGTCTCCTCAAAACAAACCACAAGCTGTAATTCAAGAACGAACCTTGGTTAAAGCTTGTGGTTTGTCTGAAGGAGGCAAACCAAGAACCTGGGTTGGACAATACACTAACCCAAATCATGGTTCACCTTGCATGAGGACTCAAGAACAAATGAAGCAGCCACACTCTTTTCCGGGAGACCACACATTTGTTTTCAGCAATGGTTTGGCTTAGTGTTACAAGAAAAGCAGGTCAGTTAGTTACTACTGCCTTTTTAAAGCTTGGAGCAGTAATTTAGGGACTCTCAGTAGGTCGTAACTATCAGTCACAAGGATCTTACAGTTTAAAATGCTGTTCCAGGTGTTAATCGGTAAGGAAAGAGGATGGGAAGTATGACTCAATTCTAGTATTATCATCCACCTTACAATTTCTGCCCAAGAAAAGTGCTCAACTTATGAAAGCCAACATCCAACAAGAGGGTTTTTTTGGGGGAAATTGAAACACTTTAAAGTCATACAATAAAGCAAAGGTCCATATATCTGCTTGCCAGAGATGATCTGACAAATATCTGGTGACTGACTCCATCCTAGTGAGTAGGATACGCCTCCTTCCATACCATCTGAGAAGGGGAGAAGGCTAATTCTCACATTTGTGCTAGGCTTTGAATGTTCTCCAATTACCTCAAGTTCAGTATGTTGCCAAGAGACAAGACCCCATCACCCACGTGAGATGGGGTCTATGTCAAACACAAGTGTCCTTGCTTATCAAGGCCAGTCAAAATTTGTGGATCCTTGAAATAAAAGGAACAAATAATAAGACATTCAATAAATGCATTTGGTCTGGCTGAAATTTCACATATTTCACTGGACGGTAGTACAAAATCCTAAAAGCAGCCCATGTGTACCCTCACAAAATGTAATTCAAAATGCATGAATTTACTACAGTGGCAATTTTTAATTCAGAGAAGTAGGATTGGTGGTGTAGAGAATAAATAACCAGAGGCATTATTCTACAAGAACAAACAATTAAATTTAGCAAGTGTATTTGTTAACCTACTGAAGCAGTTCTCAAAAGGGAGAGGTAGATTATGGTAACTTCCACCGGATGTTTTGATGCCTCACTGAAAGCCTCTCAAACTGGCAACAGTTAATTGACTGTCAGTTAAAAATATAAAATCTATTTTCTCTTTCTCTCTCCAAGAAACATTTAGAAAATCCACCTTAAACCATGTTGTGGACTGATATAATCCTGCCTCTTTTTCCTTTTTTTAAATAACATTTTTAGCAAATGCTGAATACTAATCACTATCTATCTTCAGTTGGGTTGGAAAAACACATGTGCTACAGACTTTTCCTAGACATCTAGGAATATCTAGGTTTCAGGCAAAGGGCATAATTTCGGTATGTTTTGATGCCAAGAACCATACCTGACAAAAGCTTCTTTGTTTTGCAAGGTTTCAGTTAGTTTGGACACTTCCTTCTGTAATTGTTCTTTATGCATCTGTAAGTTGTTAATGAAGTCCTCCTGAGAGAGCAGAGTGGCCCTAAGTTCCATCTTTTCTTCATGTAGAACCTTCAGAGGAGAAGATGGAAATTAGTGATGCAAAGATACAACAAATGGGATTAAGATTTTAGAATAAGCAAGCTATTGTGCTTGTGCATATATACCCAAAGAGGAGGACAACTTGGAACAATCCCTTCCCTGTCAGACATTGCTTCTCAATTAGGCTCAGGATAAAGCTGGGAGGAAGCCTATTTAATTAGTGACTTGCCAGCCCACTACCATTGCAAGCTGCATATTAACCTGCTTCCAAGCAATTCACTCACAGACCTCCAGTGAGTTCCGGGAAACTTTCAGCTCATCTAGTACTCTTTGATGTTCCTCCAAAATTTTCTGATTGCTAGAAGTTAAATCATCCACTTTCATATTCAGCCTTTCCACTTCCAGTTCATTGGCACAGATAGTGTCATTGGCCCTTTCCAACTTGCTAGTTAAGTGATGGATTTCAGATTGGCTCGCCAGCTCCACAGACTCAAACATTTGCTTCCGGCTGGACAGTTGGGCCTGTAACACAGAGAGCACTGTTCTGTTAAGCTCCCCATTCCTGGCATAAACGAAATGGGTTAGGTTCTATTTTTGTCCACTTGTAGCAGTGATCACGACACCACGTCTGGAAGAAAAGAGCCGCAAGAGGTTTACATGTCCAACTTCTCCAACTGCAACAAAAGTTTCCCAAGAAATATAGCACTTTTTCACTTATTAGATGGTCACTATAACTGATAAAGGGAATAAAGACAAACATATATGTTTGGAATCTACAGACATAATGTGTCCCGTAAGACATACACACAAGTTAAGGCATATACATACATGAAACCTTTTGTGCAGGATGGCTTCCCCACTGCATAGGAAAGCTTTCAAACTGAGATTTTTAAAGCAAGCTAGGCATGCACTGTTTTTAACTGAAGGTATCCAACCAACGTATGTAGGGTGTGAAAGTTTCCAGTATTGTATTTTTCTGCTTTTAGAAATGCATTGTTTCACAATACAAATCAAGTTGGTTAACTGGAATGGATATAAAGCTAGAGAAATTTAAGATGGAAGTTGTAATTATTTTTTAGGCAACAATCCCTTAAAAATATTTATGCACACAGCTTTTCAAGCTTGTTAAAACTAACAAAATGCTTTTCAGCTTCATTTTTCCACTTTAAAATCTAAATAATGTAAGGGAAGTGTATGTAATTGAGTTTCACTTCTTAAAATATTTACAAGTATTCTTATCAAAATAATTTCCAAGTAAAGCTCTGAATCTCTATGAATTTAATAAACCACTCTAAGTGAACTTTAATTATTTTCTCTCATCAAATATTTCAGTTCTCAACTATTCTTGGCTTTCAGAAAAACTTTTATGATATTCATATAACATGTACAATTAACATGTTATTGAGCTCCTTGGAAGATAAAGGTAGCCTATGAATGAATGAAATATTTTTTTTCCTGGAAAACCCACATCATCAACATCCAAGGAGGCAATCCTATTCACCCTCAAGTGTATGTCACACGGATTTTAATACAACTTATTCCCAAATCAATGTCAACAGGACCTGCATACCTGCAGTTAAGAATTATTTGGGTTATATTAAATATAGACTAGGGTTCTGTCAGTGCAAGGATTTCCCCTACACCAATGGAATGTTCTCCCCTCTCCTCCCGCCTGCATCCCCTAGATCTGTTCTAGAAGTTCCCTCAACCCTCAAGAACAGATGTGGGAATGGCGCAGGTGGCAAGAGAGAGTGGGAAGTCCTGTTGCACTGGTGGTAATCCTTGCGTGCATCTGCAACTATTTCACCAAATACTGCCCTTTGACTGCTTTGAGAATCAAAATCCTACTACCTGGGGTTTTTTGCTGCCCTGTCACTGATATGACCTTCTAGCTAAGGCTCCAAACAAATCTGCTTTCAATAGATTAAGCCATCAAAAACACAGGCACAGCTACAGCAAGGTATTTGTCTTCAAAAGGCTTACGCTTTGTCCAAGCACATCTGTGAGCATCTTTCACAAAGCCACTATCAGTGTCAGCCTTAATCCTGTCACTGCCAACTTCTGCCATGCAGAACTTCCACTCAGTGGCAACTGTGGAGTCCATTAAGTGCAAAGCTCCCAGCAAGAGCTTCTTATCAGCAACTCCAGTGTTTTGTGTCAGACCAAGTTTATTCACAGCTGGTACCTGGTCAGTTAAACTAAGCCACAGCGGCGCTAACTCAATGAACAGATTAATTTTTCAGAAACAGCAGAGGCTCTGCACGCTTGCGTCAAGAGACACAAACAGCACAGCTATGCATTAACACTACCTTGGTTACCCTGCCACATAGGAAATGCACCATTTTTAAAAGTCATTATTTAAACAGGTTACATACACCTGGTGGCATGTTGTCTGGCATCTTTACAGTTTTGAACAACGTAGTATTTGAATTCTTTCACACTGTGCAATTACCCAACCAGAATCATTTTATGGCCGTTCTCCAGCTGGCACTTGACAGCAAAGATAGGCAATTGCCTTCCAGCCACTGTAGTTTTCAGATTATTTCCTGGCTTTGTCTACATATTGAACAGGACAAGGTTATTCCATCAGGAGTTTCATTGTCATTTCACTGGTAACCTAAATTGTGCTAAGGCTCTGAAGTCTGCCAGTAAATCCTTTCCAAGGCAAACTCCTCACCCGTTAACTCTACCTGAATGAGATCAGACTGCTCAGAAAAAGCCTTCCGCTGTGCTTCCAGTGATGCCACGTGCTGCTGGTAGTGCAAGCGCTGCTTCTCCCAATCTAGAGCTTTCTGGCGGAACTCCTGTAAAGACAATTGGTAATCGCTATCGATCTGGTTGAAAAATACCCACTATCCCAAATCCAGTATCTTCTACCTTGCCCCTATCCTTATCCAAGGCAAGAACCTCATTAAGTACTGTAAGCCTGCAATGTACATGCATTTAACTTACGCACATTCAGCTTTATGTGCTTGGCAATAAACAAACAAACAAATAAAAAGGGGGTGGGCATCTGGGGGGGAGACTTTGGCAAATCCCACCCGCCACTGAACCCAATGTGTTTTGAGTGCAGTGGTACCTCTGGTTACGAACGCTTCTGGTTACAAACTCCGCTAATTCGGAAGTAGCAGCTCCTGGTTGTGAACTTTGCCCCAGGATGCGAACTGAAATCGTGTGCCAGAGGCGCACACACAGCGAGGCACCCCATTAGCGAAAGTGCGCCTCAGGATAAGACAGTTTCAGCTTAAGAATGGACCTCCATAACGAATTAAGTTTGTAACCAGAGGTACCACTGTATATACAATTTTGGCTTTAGGTGCGATCCCCATAATGTAACCCTGTGTATGTTGTGGTCTTACTGTACTCTAATACAACCATTCATAAGAACAATATTTTAATTTGGTTTCCAGTCCATTATATTTTTATGCCAGTTATTGCTTGTATAGATGTTGGACCTTTATAAATCTGAGAGTTCTTTAAAGTTTTGTTTTTCAAAGTGTCTGCCACAGAGACTATGCTACAGAGACCATATAGGTTGTAAGCATGAAGTATACTGTGGCAATAATGATAGGTCCAGAAAAAGATACAGCATCTCAAAAACAATACTGAATTTATCGTGACAGGAAGATTAAGGTGGTCTTGGAAGACCCTACAAAATGCTTCCAGCCAGCAGTAGGAAGAAGGCATCCCCAGGTCTTTGAATGATCTGTCATTACACATTCAACTAAGTTTATCAGAACACATCATTCTCTCTCAAGGGGTTTCTAAATAATGAATATTTTTTTAAAAAATACTGATTCTATCATATCCTGTGTCACGCACAGTCCTCCAAGTTATTATGCTGCTGCAAATATATAACATTTTCCAAATGTTCCAGGTAAAATATATTTTATCTGGAAAAATGCTACACAACCCCTGAATGATTTATTTGTTCTTGTGTAAGCACTCTGTGGGATGTGGCTGTGTAGCATGAGTACATTAAATACTGCTTTTGACATAATTAGTAGGGATGGACAAACTTACTCCGCAAGAAATTGCAATTCTCTCATTAAGCAATAAATCCCATGGTACAAGCTCAGATGAAATCTCAATTTTTCTGTGATTTCATAAGTATATTTAATTCCTGCACGTTCAAAACCACAACAGGAAAAGCACTTTCCTTGTCCATTACCAGAGATTACCTAATTGCCCTCAGGGTTCATCCTCACACACTCTTTTCATACAGAACATCAGAGATTTCATATGTATAAAGGCAATGGTATACATCTGTAACTGTGCCAATATTTTTTAATTAAAATAATTAACTCCCTAAGCAGCATTTATGTTCTCAAGGCTGTATCTAGTGGGGGACATAGGAAGCATTCTGACTCCATCACTGCTCAACTCACAGTGGCATGGGTTTAGTTCTGGAATGTGGCTATCTGAAAAAAGCACGTGCATACCGAGAGAGAGAGAGAGAGAGGGAGGGAGGGAGGGAGGTAGACACACAGAGATTGAATGCACAAGCATTATGTACCAGTATGTGTCAAGAATGCAAATTACAAAGACCCCCTGCAAAATTTCTTGGACTCCAACAATAGAACTATATTGATACATTCCTGTACATACTGGAAATACGCAAAGTTTAGTTCCAAGACAGAGGATAAAATGCAACATAAGGTGCCTGCTTCTCTCATATACTCACACAAACACACCTCTGCTAAATATTACAGTAATAAGCTAGCAAATAAAAAAATGTTTCTAAATATTTTTGCAAATTATTACATATTCATTGATCAAAGAACCTGCTGGCTTAAGATCAGTATTAAGACTCTCTCATATTGGCTCAAGATCCACAAAACAGAGAAATCTGAAGCCGCCTTAAGAGCAGACATTGCCCCATGCATTGCCATGTGATCAGCAATGATGCTGTGCAATGTTACAAATTGTGCTTCCTTACACCTTGCCCTCCATGCACTCACACTTTTCCGTGGCCTTTCAGGTCCAAATCTAGAAAAGGAGGTTAGAGTGCCTGAGACCAGCCAAGATGCTCCACACTGTCCTGGTCTGCATAGCTAATCAGGGGGTACAACATACACTACCCAAAGTGTGACTGCTGACTGAAAAGAAATATGGCCTAATTGTTCTAACAATTAGGTAAAGGTAAAGGGACCCCTGACCATTAGGTCCAGTCGTGGCCTACTCTGGTGTTGCGGCGCTCATCTCGCTTTACTGGCCGAGGGAGCGTGTGTACAGCTTCCGGGTCATGTGGCCAGCATGACTAAGCTGCTTCTGGTGAACCAGAGCAGCACATGGAAAATAGGTACGGAGCGGTACCTATTTATCTACTTGCACTTTGACGTGCTTTCGAACTGCTGTGTTGGCAGGAGCAGGAACCGAGCAACGGAAGCTCACCCCGTCACAGGGTTTTGAACCGCCAACCTTCTGATCAGCAAGTCCTAGGCTCTGTGGTCTAACCCACAGTGCCACCTGCGTCCCTTGTTCTAACAGTTAAATATACCTTAAATCAGTGGTTCCAAATTGGGAGTCCACAGACCCACCCAGAGGGTCCATGGTACCATTCACATAACAAAAACTACCATAGAAATATCGAATTTTTTAAAAGTAGGGGGCCCATGACTTGGCTTTTGAAAAACAAGTCTGTAGTACTTAGCTAATTGGGACCCACTTCCTTAAATAATTAAGTATCTAATTTAATACCTTACATATTTAATTTGCAATTAAATATACCTGTGTATAATCAAATGCAGTGGGACGCGGGTGGTGCTGTGGGTAAAAGCCTCAGCGCCTAGGGCTTGCCGATCGAAAGGTCGGCGGTTCGAATCCCCGTGGCGGGGTGCGCTCCCGTTGTTCGGTCCCAGCGCCTGCCAACCTAGCAGTTCGAAAGCACCCCCGGGTGCAAGTAGATAAATAGGGACCGCTTACTAGCGGGAAGGTAAACGGCGTTCCGTGTGCTGCGCTGGCTTGCCAGATGCAGCTTTGTCACGCTGGCCATGTGACCCGGAAGTGTCTCCGGACAGCGCTGGCCCCCGGCCTCTTGAGTGAGATGGGCGCACAACCCTAGAGTCTGTCAAGACTGGCCCGTACGGGCAGGGGTACCTTTACCTTTATAATCAAATGCATTTAGTTATGCAGTCCAGATGCATATATATTTTTTATTTCTATATGGGCAAGAGAATAATTGAAAAATGAATCAACATACTTTTGAAGCTCCCTGTACATATACAAAGACGCTAAGCAAATAGCTTGCTTCAAGTCTAAAGCTAGAATCCAAAGAATCATGGAACAAACTCCTTGAGTCCAAAGGTCTTCAGCTTTGTTTTAAATCAGATTTTTACTTTAAAATAAATCCAATTTCAATGTTTAAATAATCAGTTTAAAAATAATATGTTCAAAGGAAACCACTAATTTTTATCAAACCTGTCATGGTTCAGGCTGGTTTCTTGCTTCTGTTTAATGTACAGTTGTGCTCTTTAACCACAGATGGGGAAAGCATACTGAACAAAAATTAAGTACTTATTCTCCCACACATTCTCAGAAATCTGATGAATATTGTGCTCGCCAGTGCTTGTACATCAGATTCCAAAGAGACAATGCAAATGTATATAAAAAACAGCTGAAAGCATATTTGCTCAGAAAGCACTAAAGAAAAGAAACTACAGGCCAATTCATATCTACTCAGAAGTAAGCCCCATTGAGTTCCATAGTTCTGAATTAATGAAACCCGGAACAGGACTGCATTTTATCCACTTACCTCTAACTTCTTAGTCAGGATGCTTACTTCAGATTGGTCCTCCTCTTGGCTCCTGGAGGGTAATTTCCTTGCTTCTTTCAGTTGTTTCTTCAGCAGTTTCTCATAGCTTCTCTTCAGCCTAGCTAGCTGTATGAAAAGCAAGGCAATTCACAGCATTGTGATTGGTGCTGAAGTAGAGGAACACAGGCTTTCTGAAGCAATATTGAAACTTTGTAGGATACATTTTTATTATGGATTTTCTATTTTTTATTTGGACACTTCATTATTACAACAAATGGAGGAGGGATAAAAATAATACAACCCACAAAAGTAAATATTCCCAATAAATCCCTATTCTAACTCCCTCCAAACCAACAACTCACAAAATAATAAAAGACAGCAAAGCAGAAAATAAAGAAGGGGGAAAAGAGAGAACAGAAAGTAGGCTGAAGTTATGATAGATCAGAAAATATGATGAAACAAGTGTAAAGAAGCGGGGAGGGAACTGGCAGGGAATTATGAGCTATCAGTGTTTTAACTGTTATAGCATCCATGGCATGCATACTTATTCAGAAAAAGTATACATTTCAAAATCTTGATTTAAGGCAATCTAGAACAACTCTGGAAATGCTGTAAAGAGAACAGACAGTTCGCAGTAAAGATTAAACTACTACCGCTACTACTACTACTATTATTATTATCATTTCCATACCTATTTATATTTTTTAGAAAAAAATCTCAAAGCAGTTTACAACCGACATTAAAACACCAAATCAAACAATCCAGAATAAAACATTATTGAAGAAAGTCAAATATAATGTATAAACTCAAAGCAACTTAAGTAACAGGAAACTAAAATATTGTCTTAAGGTTTTCAAAATAAAGCATTACGAAAGAGGTAAACTACAGAATGTACATTTAATGCCGCAAGGTTAACATTATCTTAAACATTAAAAGAAAACATTATTAAAGGAAGTCAAATACAAGGTGCACATTTAAAACAGCATAATTAGCAAGATAATAAATTATTATTATCAGCACAGAGCATATCTGCTGCTGGTGCTGCCAATAATGTCAACAGTGGTTCATGGCAGGCGGCAGCTGTGGATGCTCAGGTTTGATGACTTGGATCTGCACTAAGAGTCAAGTCAAGTTGGTCTCTTAGTAATGCTGCATGTATTGAGAGGGGTATTTTTAGTCGTGGACCAAGTGCTTAAAATTACAGTAATTTTATAATTCAAATGTGGATATTCCAGATAGCAGTAACACTACTCTTAAAAGGGGGCACCACTTAAGAGTAAAAATTGTGACACTACACACTCTAGTGCTAGTATACACATAAACTGCCTTCTGCTATACTTAGTCTTCAGCCTTCCTGACTGCCCTATACTGCTGCCAGTCCAGCTTCCAACCTTTGCAAATATCTGCCACTGCACCTCAATCTTGCTTGGCAGAATCCTTACTATCCCCATGGGGGAATCTCCTAAACAAGCACCATTACTCATGCTGGAATGAAAAGACTTCTAAAAATGTAGACAGATGTCTTCAGATTGCTAAAGCAACAGCACAAAATTAATTTTATTTATGGCCTACAGTAGGCCGCACTTGAACCAACTCTCCAGAGAAAAAGGTTAATGCATTACAAGTCTCATATGGCATTTAACTTCAAGCAGCTGACAAGCAAGAAGAAAGGAGGACAAAAGCGAAGGCCAAACATGAAAAGCTGTCACAGCACCCAACTCCTTATAGTGAAATAGCTGCAGTACAGCAAGCCTTTTGTTCCTTATTTTCTTACAGAATATTTTTTTTTTTAAATCAGATTTTGGCTGCAACCATATACACACTTACTTGAAGTAAGCTTCACTGAACACAGCAAGGAAACATATAGGACAAGGCCCCAGGAAGAAAACAGACACAAATTCCCCATGAGAATAATACACAGAGAAGCTGCTGTAATATAAGCAGTCCACCCCACACAACTGTGGTTTAAAGGAACCATTAGCACAGGGAAAGCAAGATTTGAACTTAATACTCTGAGCTGAGCTGCCCCCAACCCACCCAACCATATTGAAGCTAACAACTGACTTTGCAAAGGCAGCTCAACAGCCATTAGAATGATATACTGTCATACCTCGGGGGTTACAGACGCTTCAGGTTGCGTCTTTTTGAGTTGCGCACCGTGCCAAACCCGGAAGTACCAGATGGGTTAGTTCTGAGTTTCGGCGCTCACACATGCGCTAAATCACGCTTTGCACATGTGCAGAAATGCCAAATCGCAACCTGCACGTGCGCAGACTCAGCGCTGCGGGTTGCGAACGTGCCTCCCACATGGATCACGTTCACAACCCGAACACCCACTGTACTACCACCAGCAAAAAGAAGTGGAGCTTAGGAGGCAAAATGTTTTTATCTATTAGCAAGAAAAGATGCCAAAATGAGCCTAGGCTTTAGAGTTAATTAACACAGCTTATTAAACTCAGCTCTTAAAGATATTTAATAAGGTAGTTTTTCTTAAGGGTCAGCTAACCAAAGGGCTAACACAGATTATGAAAAGGAATGGAAGGATATGAGATTTTATATATATATAACTGAAAAGTCTACATGATATAAATGAACTGGATATTTGAAAATGCTGGGCTTAACGAGTGTTCTATAGATAGTTTTTTTTTAAAAAAAATATTTTATTAAGGATTTTCTTGTTTTACAGAAGTGTAGTGCCTCGTTTTTTGTTTGTTTTTTCCCTTTGACATTTTTACAAATCCATTTCATTTGTTGAGGCATTAGGGGGAGAAGAAAAAAGAAAGAGAGAAGAAAAGGGGGGTGGAGAGAGGGAAGATGGATGGGGGTGGGGTCGGGTGGCGGTGTTTCTATTATGTTTAATGTGTGTAGAGTTTGGTGTCAGCGTTATTTGTGTCGTTCACTTGTGTTCCTTTGGTGGTGAGAGAGGTTGGGGTTGGCCTAGGGTGTGATTGTTTGCTTGTGGTTGGCTGTGGTGATCTTTGTTTTCGTGTGTGAGTGAGGTGGGTGGGTGTTTTGGATCAGGTTAGCCATATTGATTTGTATGCTGCTGGTGGATTATTGTCATTGTCCTGTTGGGCTGTGTGTGTGATAAAGGGGAGCCATACCGGGGTGAAGGTGTCTTCTTCTGTTTGTCCCCGTGTCAGTTTCAGTTTATTAGTTAATTTTTCTAGTAGGGCTGTTTCCCATACTGTTTGGTACCATTGGTCCATGCTTACTCCTGACAGGTCTCTCCAGTGTCTGGTTATGGTATTTCTGGCTGCTGAGAGCAGGTGGGTTATGAGTTCTTTGTGGTGTAAATGGGCATTGTTGTCTTGGAAGATGTTTAGTAGGGCCAGTTCTGGGGTGATGTCTATTACTTGCTTAGTTATTGTACATATTTCTTGTATGGTTGTCATCCAGAATAGTTGGGTTTTGGGACACTCCCACCACATGTGGAGGTATGTGCCTGTGGAGGTGCACCCTCTCCAGCATTTTGGTGAGGTTCCTGGGTGTATTAGCGCTAGTTTCCTTGGTGTTAGGTACCACCTGTAGGTGAGTTTCAGTGTGAGTTCTTTTCTTTTCGTTGATATGGATTTAAAGGGGGGTTTAGACCACATTCTGGTCCATTGAGTGGGGTTAATCTCATAGCCTATGTCATTCTCCCATTGTTTTTTGATTGCGTCTAGGGGATTTGTGGGATTTTGGAGTAGTATTTTGTATATTGCGGATACTGTCCCTTTACCGTTTCCCTTTGTTGTTAGGAGGAGGTTTTCGAAGGTTGTCAGGGGCCTAGTTGCTGCTGATTTTACTGTTGGGTTGTTTAAGAGGGCATGTAGTTGGTGTTGTGTTAACCAGGGCATTTGGGTGTCTTCTAGTTTGTCTTGTATTTCTTGTGTTGACAGGGGTTTGTTATTTTTATAAAAGTCTATTAGGCGATACAAGCCTTTGGTTCGCCAGGTTTTTATCTGGAGGTTTTGTGCTGCATGGTGGAATAATGGGTGGTATGCCAGGGGGATTAGTGGGGATGGGGTTGGGGATAGTTTGCCTATTTGTGTTTTCCATGCTTTGAGCATGGTCTGTGTGTACCTGTTAAGTGCTGTGGGAATTTTCTTTAGTTTGTCTGGGAGGAGTGGGTATGTTGTGGTGCAGGTGTTTTCAATTGTGTCCTTCTCTAGGTGTACCCATTGTTTTGTCTCATCTTCTAGTATATATGGGATTATATGGCGTATTTGGTTGGCAGTGTAATATGCTTCTATGTTGGGGATTCCCCATCCTCCTTCTGAGGTGGGGAGGTGCAGGTATTTGGGGCTTATTCTTGGTTTTTTATGTGAGAAGATGAAAGAGTGTAGTTTTCTCTGCCAACTGCGAAGTTGGGTTGGGGGGATCCAGATTGGGAGGGTTTGGAATAGGTAGGTTAGTTTTGGGAGTGTGATCATTTTGATCGTGGCTATTTTGTCTGAGAGAGTGAGGTTCATGTTATTCCATCTCTTTAGGTCTTTGTTAATTTGTTGCCACAGGGGCTTGTAGTTGTGGAGGTACAATTTATTGAGGTTTCTGGTTATTTGTACCCCTAGGTATCTGAACTTGGTGTGGCAAAGTTTTATTTTGGTGACCTTCGTGAGTTCTTTTTGGGTGTGAAGAGGGGTGTTGAAGCACATAGCTTCTGACTTTGTAAAATTTACCTGTAGGCCCGACACCATTGCAAATGTGTTGAGTTCTCTGATTAGGGAGGTTGCTGTGCTTATGGGGTCTGGTGTTGTGACCACTAGGTCGTCTGCAAAGAGCCCTAATTTATAGGTTCTGCCTTTTATTTCCACTCCCTTGATGTCTGTGGCCGCTCGGATGCGGATTGCTAGGGGTTCAAGAGCCAGGATAAATAAGAAGGGAGACAGTGGGCATCCTTGTTTTGTGCCTCTTTGGATAGCTATAGTATTAGAATCCATATTGTTAGTTCTGCATTTTGCTGAGGCTTGGGAGTATATTTGTTTGAGGATCTGTAGGAAGTTGGGGCCAAATTTCATGTTGGTTAGTACTGCTAATATGTATTTCCACTCCAAGCAATCAAAGGCTTTGAGTATGTCTAGGGACATAATTGTCAATGGGAGTTTGGTTGCCTTGCTGTGTTCGATCAGGTTCAGTAGTTTCCTGATGGGGTCTGTTATATTGCGGCCAGGGACAAAGCCAGTCTGGTCTGGGGCTATTAACTTGTGTAGGAAGATTTTTAGGCGGTTGGCCAAGATTGATGTGAATATCTTGTAGTCTTGGTTTATTAATGAGATTGGGCGGTATGATTCTACTTTGAGGCTGTCTTTTAGTGGTTTTGGGATGGAGACTATTTTGGAGTGGGTCCAGGTTTTGGGGATGGGGCCCCCTTTTATGATGTCGTTGAATAGGCGGGTCATGTAGGGCATCAAGGGTTCTTTAAATTTCCTATAGAATTCTGCTGTGAAGCCGTCTGGGCCTGGGGCTTTGTGTGGTTTCAGTTTTTTGAGGACTGCATCTATTTCCTCTGGGGTGATAGGGCTGTCCATGAATTCCCGCTCCTCATCAGTTAGGGTAGGCATGGTCAGTCCTGCTAGAAATTTTTTGATTTCCTTCTCTGGTGGGTTTCGGGAGGTGTATAGGTTGGAGTAAAATTCTGCAAATTCTGAGATTATTTCTTTGGGGGAGAATTGTTCTATAGATAGTTGAGCAGAAGTAAAGCTATTTGAGATCTCCCAATGGAGTAAAACAAAGAACAAATCAAGGTACACATATGCTGTGGATAGGGAAACAGTGACCCTCCAGATGTTATTCCAATTCCCATCAGCATTGCCAATGGTCAAGAATGATGGGATTTGGACTCCAGCAACAGCTAGAGAGCTCCAGGTTCCCCAACTCTTGATGTACGCCATCAACATTTTCCCAATAATGAGTGGACATACTCAGCTGTATGTGAACTGTTCTCTTATTAATACCACTTGACTTCGTTGAACTAAAAACAATCAAGTACTTACTTTAATTTAAACTTTCTCTAAATTCCTGGAAATAAAAGTACGCCATAGAGGGAAAGACTGCAAACATTTCGTGAAGCAAAATCTTTTTATGTTTACATCCATGTTAAAACCCAACGTGATTATGTAGAAAATAAACTGCACTTTTTATGTCCATTGCAATAACATAACTGCTGAATGTTTGCATCCATTAAATAGGCAAAACAGCAATCACTGCAAATTCCACAAGTTAAAAAGCGGATGTTAAAAGGTTTTAGGAAGAATTGACATATGCATGATTCAGGTTCTTGTTTTTGCACTTTCATGTGAACTGCATCATATTATATATATATATATATATATATATATATATATATATATATGCAGGTTTTGGTGTCCTCGGGTGTCTTCCCGTGTAAAAGTTGGGGTGTCTAGGCGACGTTTCAACGAGGTCTCACTCGTCATCTTCAGGCTGGTGCTTTCGGCTTCTTGTTACTGGAACAGAGCAGGATCTCAGTGTTTGAGTTCTTATAAATACTGTTGAGGGGGTGTGGTGTATAGCCTCCAATGTTCTCCAATGTTCTGGGCAGAGAGGAAGTTCCCAGGCTAGTGTGCCTTTTCTTCTTTTGTTCCTTAAGAAGAAAAGGCACACTAGCCTGGGAACTTCCTCTCTGCCCAGAACATTGGAGGCTATACACCACACCCCCTCAACAGTATTTATAAGAACTCAAACACTGAGATCCTGCTCTGTTCCAGTAACAAGAAGCCGAAAGCACCAGCCTGAAGATGACGAGTGAGACCTCGTCGAAACGTCGCCTAGACACCCCAACTTTTACACGGGAAGACACCCGAGGACACCAAAACCTGCATTCCTGTACCCGTGAAAATCTACGAAAGCAAATATATATATATATATATATATATATATATGAGATGACAAGATTATAGACATGGCAATATCATAACCTACAATATAAAATAAAAGCTGGACTTGAGGAGGCTCACCTCTTCCTGGACCTTTCGTAACTGCTGTTCATATTCCATAGTCATATCACGATTCAGTTGTTCCATCCCTTCTAGTCGCTGACACAGCCTTTCAATCTGAAAGACACCAAATGTCATTTGACCAACAGCAGAAACCCTCTCCTTTTATTTTCCAACTTTTATGGGACAATGGAAAAAGTCACTAAAGTGAAGAAACTGTGAAAATCATCCTGTACAGCACAATTAAGGAAGGGTTCACTACACGTTATTTTCCTCAAACTTTGCTACAATGATCTCTCCACCACAAATAAGTGGTTGAGTCTACCCAAGTGTAACAAAGAAAGCAGAAGACCACTGATTTGGCTGATCAGTGAAATGGGATAGAGCAAGTGTCTCTTTTGCCCCTGGCATGTTCTAAATTCCCAAGGTGGAGAGAGGAGCAAGAACACCTGCAAAGCAGGGGAAAAAATGACTCCATTTCCCTCCCAAAGCAGCAGCAATCTACAAAACTGAGGAGGTAGCACATCTGCCCACATTAACATTGATTGGAAAATGGAACACAGGTTATACTTTCTCTCTTGAGCCAAGGTAGACACAGTGTGAGGTTTGGAAATAGTGTCAGAACAAGATTGTGCTGCTCCTAGAAATTGTTTGTGCTCCCAAAGGGAGGCCTTCATTACATTTTAATAAGCCTATAATTAGCCTATTCAGAAGTGAGATTAATAGCCTGCCACAATAAGGAACTGGAAAAAGAATGCACACTGTCTGTGCCAGCTATACACAGTAACAATGAAACAACTGCAGAATAAACCCAAGATGCCGTGTCACATTCTAAAGAGGAAAGTAAAATTTAAAACATTATCTGGAATATAATATATTATGTTAAACAAAATAAGAAGGCTTGATTTCTATCCTGGGAGAAGGACAAGGCAAACCTTCCGACTCTCCTGGAATATTCAGCAGCTTTAGATACATCAAGCGTGGTATCCTTCAGGTTCAGGTATCCCAAGCAGGAATTTGGGTTACAGTGGTGCCTCACAAGACGAAATTAATCCGTTCCGCGAGTCTCTTCGTCTTGCGGTTTTTTCGTCTCGCGAAGCACGGCTATTAGCGGCTTAGCAGCTATTAACGGCTTAGCGGCTTTAAGAAAAAGGAAACAAACTCACAAGACGTTTCGTCTTGCGAAGCAAGCCCATAGGGAAATTCGTCTTGCGGAACGACTCAAAAAAACGGAAAACCCTTTCGTCTAGCGAGTTTTTCGTCTTGCAGGGCACCACTGTACTGTTCTTCAGTAGTTTCATTCAAGAAAGTGATGCAGTGAAATATTGCTCTGCCCCACAACTGTGTTATTACACTGTGCTACGGGGCTTCATATAATGCATATAATGTGGCTATAGTTATTCACACTCCGGTAGCCTCTTTTAGACTTGTGTAATGAGTTGTACTTAAGATTGTCATTGAAGGCTGAAGAAATGTTAGTTCATACAAAATTATGTGGAAAAGATATTGACTGAGGCTAATCGTTAGTTCTGGAAAAACACTGGCTATCAGTCTGTTTCTGAGCACAATATAAAGTTTTTAAAGCCCAAAACACCTTGGGACCAGAGTGCCTGAAGGATTATCTTCTTCAACATGAATTTGCCTCAGCACTAAGCTCAAAGATCTTGCTGTGAGGTCTCCCCACACCTGCCCCAGCCCACAAGTGAGATAGGTAGTGGCCATGGATATAGCCTTTCCTGGGCTGATGATGCCATTATGGAATTCTCTCCCTCAATGAGGCTCTACTGATGCCAAGCCCAACATCACCTTTGGAGCCAGGTGAATACATTTTATTTTCTCCAGATTTTTTTTAGAACTGGAATATTTTACTCCTTTCTTATGCTGAAGTTGTAATGCTAGTCTTTCAGGATTCTTGATTCAGCATTCATAAACTGATAAAAGGATATAGGAAAGATGAGAGGGGGTACAACTTTATGCAGTGCAACAGACTGCAGTGAAATTTCAGAAAGGAAAGCATAGACAAGTACACATAGCACCAAAGCTATAAAAGTACCTCTTTACATTTCTCATCCAATGCATTCCTGAGAGAGGACAGTTCCTGCTCTCGCACATCCAAGCAGGATTCTAGTGCCCGGGTTTGAGTTTCCCATTCAGCTTTCTTATGAGCCACCATTATGTCTATCTGCTTCATCAGCTCCTGTAGTTCTGCTTCACATGAAGTCTGGAAACTTCTATTAAAAATAAATAAATTATCCTCATCCCTTATTTGTACGCTGTTTTTCCATGGTAAACCATGCACGGTTGCTTTAATAATGGAGCAAATACCGGAGAGAGATACCAGGTAAGCAAAGCTTTCCTTGCTTCTCTCACTCCCTCATACACACCATAATAATCAGGCAATGGTAATACTTCCTTTTATTGCTATGCTAAGGGATGGGTTCCTCCAGCCAAAAGCACCAACAGAGAGCATGTAACGGGGCAATGCAATGTAACTTCAGCATACAATGATTCCCCACAATACACTCACAGGGATAAAAGCTGGGAAGCCTGCATAACACCAGGGGTCATATTATTTTTTAAAAATGAAAGTGACCAGAAGGGCTTCAGCTAATTTGAATTTATCAGGCTTGGACCACGTAACTTTGTGGTCCACCCCAAATCCTAAGCACAACAACAAGCAAGTGTTAAGTGGAGTTTTAAATGCCTCATTTTCCTAAGAATGTCCAAATATTTTTAAGTCCCACCCGCTCCCGGTGGCCGCGCAGAGCTGCCTGCAGTCCTGGGATCAGCGCAGCTCTGCGCGGCCACCGGGAGCCGGGCGCGAAGTCCCGCCCGCTCCAGGTGGTTGCGCAGAGCTGCCTGCAGTCCCGGGATCAGCGCAGCTCTGCACGGCCACCGGGAGCCGGGCGTGAAGTCCCGCCCCGCTCCCGATGGCTGCGCAGAGCTGCCTGCAGTCCCGGGATCAGCGCACTTCTCCCCATCGCCAGCCCCACAAGCTCGGGGGACAGCGGGGAGGCAGAGCGCGCCTTCCCGCTGTTCCCCAACCTGGTTCTTCCAGCCCCGCACCTGGGGGGGGGAAATAAAATTTTTTTTCTTTATTTCCCCCCCAAAAAACTAGGTGTGTCCTATGGGCCAGAGCGTCCTATGGGGCGCAAAATATGGTATTTTAGTGACAACTGAGATGGCTGTGGGTAAATGGGAATGATAATTAAGCAAGGTAAAAATAGGACCGATGCTTTGTGAGGGATTGCTGGACAACAGCCTGATCTCCTGAAAACATGGGTTACATCTTTGCAGTTTCTGACCCTTCCAAAGACATGACTGACACATAAGGAAAATATGCTTGTTCAATAATAAAAAGCCAAGATTCTTAGGGTGTCAAGTTCTGTGTAAGAAAGCTGAAGAAACACAGATACACTGTCCCTTTAATGAAAACAACAAGATCAAAGAGGAAAATATGTTCTAGAGCAGGGATGTCCAACTCCCAGGAGATGCAATCTACTCCCAGGGGGAAAAACTGGCAGTGATCTACCAGTTTGGGGGGGGCAGACCAAAGTTGTTACTAAACGTGACGCAGTGAAAGACCAAGGGGGGAGGGGGGCGGAGACATGATTCTAAACAACTCGAGCGGTAAGGATCCTGCGATCAACCACGATCACCCAGGGGTCGACCTGTCGATCACAGTTGACTGGTTGGGCACCCCTGTTCTAGAGGATTTCAGGAAGAGCAGCTTCATAAGCACATTCTGGAAGCTGTAGCTGCTATTTTTCTGTCAAAATGGTAATACCCACCAGAGATAGTGCACATCTGAGGAAGAGCATAATTCTTTCACATAATGCTAGCAAAACAGGATCTGTGAGCGCAATTACTGTGGAAGTAACTATCATATCTGGGACTGTGAAGAGCCTGACATGTGAAGCACATGTGCAAACCCATCTTCCTGGTTCAGTGTAATCTATGCATTTGTGTAATGTATGCATCTGAATAAAGCCATTGGTAACTAGTACTAGTATACACATACCTGCCCTGTATTCTTTCTAGCAATGCCTCCATCCTGAAATCACATCCTTTAGGGCAGCTAAAAAAGTAAGCAAAATAAAGGTTATGCCACAGTAATTCATCACCATGTCCAATCCATCTCTAGGTGACTGCAAAACGTGAGATGTGTCTGACAATTGAGAAAAGGAAAGGTGAAGATTTACACAGTTTACTTTAAGTATGCAGGGAATAGTTGTCACTTCAATAAATTTGTAGGCCACATATCAAGCACCTTAAGCACCTTATAAATGAAAGATAATTTGCAAGGTAACAAACCAGACTTATTACTCGCTTGCTATCTGGATTTTGCAAGTGCTTTAGTAAAGTATGTGGATTGTTTCCGATAACAAAGGGATTACATTGTTGCAGATTACATTGTTGCAAAAGTACCAATTATATGGGCCTTTCTACATAAAAAAGCTTGTTTGCAATTCTTTTGCTATATTTGTGCCCTGCTCTCTTTTAGAGCATCAAACACAGAGCTACGAAATATTAGCCATTCAGGAACTAATGGGTTTATCTTCTGGCGGAACTATTGCAAGTGATGAAGCCATTTTAGCGAAAAAAAGATCCAAGGTGAAAGATTCTGATGTGTGTATCCTCTGTATGCCTGCCTCAATGGGCTGATTTAATAATGTGGGCTAAAACCCAATTAAAAATATACCAAATAACATACTTACATTATTTTTTAAAATAAAGCTCACTCATTTAATATTTCCCCCCAGAAAGCTTAAGTTGGAAAGGTCAACTTGTGAGCACACATGAGGGAAATGCAAAGATCTCAGATAAGAAAGTCGAGCCACTTCTAGAGACTGGTAAACACTGACAAAGGTTCAACACCTGTACTGGAGAGGCAAGGCATACTTCTCCACATCACATTGTTTGAATTTAATGTGTGGAGAAGGGTGGGAAACAGGATCAGGCTGACAGGCAATGATTATGCCAGGTGACTGACAGATGGGCAGTCCCCCCACCCATCTGGGCCACCAGACAGATTTTATTCTCCACCCCTGCTATAAAAGGTTTTGTAAAGTTTCTCACAAAGATGTGTATTGTTCCAAGGTTTTCTGAGTGACAGCTACATGTTTAAAAGCAAATTTATAAATGTAAGCAACATATTACTGCTTGGGAAACTCAGCATCTTTTTAAAACAAATGCAAGATAGCTATTGAGCTACATACAGTAGATTTGTGCTACTCAACTTGAGTATCTTGCTGTTCCTTACAAAGTCACCCCCCTCCCTATTCTTTTTTATTCAGTCTGACTTTGTTCATTTGGGCATAATTCAAGGTATGTACACATACGGCAGTTGCTGAAGTCTATATTTTTGAAGCTCTTAAGTAGTACTTTATATTGCAATAATAATTAAGCCTGATTGTAACACAAAAAAAGAAAAATGTCACCTCAGATGTTATGTTATCCAGGTTTGTTTCAATGAGATGCTTAACACACCCGTGCAATGTATAAATATTGAAGAATGGGCTGTTGAGTATCCTTTTCCCATGTATGCTATATGGCTAATATGCATGCTTTAAATAAAAGTACAGTGGTATCTCGGGTTAAGTACTTAATTCGTTCTGGAGGTCTGTTCTTAACCTGAAGCACCACTTTAGCTAATGGGGTCTCCTGCTGCTGCCGCCGGAGCACGATTTCTGTTCTCATCCTGAAGCAAAGTTCTTAACCTGAAGCAGTATTTCTGGGTTAGCAGAGTCTGTAACCTGAAGCGTATTCATGGTGGTGGTTGTATTGCAAGACTATCCCAAAAACTTCTGTGAAAGGTGGTATAAAAAGCCTTAGACCAGTGTTTCCACAAACTTGGGTTTGCCAGCTGTTTTGGGACTATTCACCCCCTCTCCCATCATCCCTGACCACTGATCCCGATAGCTGGAGACCCGAGTTTGGGATACACTGCCTTCGACAAATAACTGGTGTGGGTGCAATACGATTAAAACTTTTAAGCTGCAAGTTTACAGCTGCAAGGAGTTAAAGGGCCTCAGGTGAAAGGGGGGGTGGTAACAAAAGAGTGTTAATTCAAAAACACATCCAGAGTTAAGCACCAACAAAGAAATGCTTTGCTGAAGCAAGCATCTGTAAGATCAGAAGCACAAGCTGCTTGGGAGTGAACTGAACGGTGGGGCTTTGCTTCCAAACAAGTATGTGCAACACAGAGCTGGGCTGCGAAAGCTAAAAACACGGGCTGAACTGATGCAAGCAGGGCAGGCAAAAGGTCGCCAACGTCTCCCCCTTTTAAAAAAGGGTCACTTGCAGGAAATGGCCTCTGGCCACCACTGAGCTGCAATTTGCCGCCTCCGACTGACAGTGGTTCCTGTCCCTCGAGGAAGAGGATGGAAGCAAAAGGGCGCTGCTGTTTCCCCCCTGGCCGCTTTTACAAGGCGCTGCTTTCTAAGGGCCGACCTTGGAGACGAATCTCCACGCCCAAGTCGCCACCGAGGGCCAGAGCTCCGCTCTCCCAGCCGGCCGAGGGCAGAAGCCAGGAGGCAGTTTCGCGCGTGGGTCGCGTGCACACGTTACGAAGTTACCTCACAGGCGCGCGTAATAACCGAGGAGCGCGCCGCGAGGGAGAGGCGGTTCTGCTGCCCGCGAAGCGCCAAAGGCCAACGAGGCGGCGCGCGCCCGGGTGAGGAGAGGAGAAAGAAGGGACGCCTCGCCAATCTCCCGTCACCCGGAGAAAGAGAAACGAGCCCGCCCGACCAACGCCGCGCCAGGGGTAATGGCCGGCGAAACAGAGTGTCGAGCTTCTCTTTCCACGCCGTCTCCCGCGCGAGCCACTCAGCCACGCCCCCACCCGTTACCTCAGAACTTGGGAGTCGCTTTCTGGTTCGTGACTCCCGCCCGCGTTGTTTGGGTAAGACTAGCGACGCTCTCTTCTTTTTCTTCCTCCATCTCTATGGGTTTCCGGCTTCTGGAGCCGCTTCCTGTGATGTCACTTCCTCTGCCTCCGAGGTTCGGAAAACAGTGGCGCGTCTTAGGTGAGAAGCTGGCGGGTGACAGGATCGGGGCGGCGGAGGTTGTCCCAAGCCGCCTGCCTTTTTCCGAATGAAAGCAAAGCGCAGGTACGCTTAGGATCAGGGTCCGAAGCCCGTGTGTGACGTAGCCCTGGTTCTCCCCGGGCTGCACGAAGATGGACAGCGAAGTGCAGAGAGACGGGCGGATCCTCGATTTGATCGACGACGCGTGGAGGGAAGATAAGTTGCCCTACGAAGATGTGGCAATACCGCTGGTGAGTAGAGTGGGCGCTTAAGAGCCTGGCCCTGAATTGGTTTTCCTGGGTCAGACCTCTAAGCACATGGGCAGGGGGGGCAGTATCTGCCTTACGGTGCTAGTCTGGTTCGGGAAAGGGGCCGATCTCTGTGCCTCCTTTCTCCTCATCAGGTGGGTGACGCCTAAATGCACACAGCCCTACTTTAAATAGTAGTAATAATAATAATAATAATAATAATAATAATAATAATAAATGAATTAACCTTTTGCAACCAGGGGCAAAACTGCATGGTATGAGGCAAGCGCGGTTCCCAAGTCAATATTTGACTCATATTGCTAATGTGGGTAACTTCCCACTGCAAGCATATTTAAATTACTTTGAAGCTGGGTTTGCAGGCTTCGTGGAGGATCCTGGCTTCCTTCACATCTTTTGTAGCAATAATGAAACAGGTCAGAATTGCCTCATTAAAAGTACTTGGTTGTTTATTTATTTTAAAGTCCCATAGCAGGCTTTAGCATTAAAATGAAATGTATTAAAAACAGTTTAAAACTGTACTTTCTAGAGCCACATTTTGTGCCATCTGTATCTATGCACATTTGTTGGATTAGGATACCACACAGTACAAGAAACTGGCTCTAGTGAGCATGTTTAGCTGAAGTGGAAAATGATACCACATTGTATGTATATTTCACCCATCTAGTAAATTTCAACTCTCTCAAATGCCTGTTGTAAAAAGTTGAATCGTCACTTGCCAAAACAAAAGCATGAGGGACCAAGACAGTGATGGGAGTTTCATGATGTGCTGGGAGTTACCACAGAGAAAACTATCTCAGGACACTGCACAATTAACCATATCTATTGAATATACTTATTGAGTTCTAAGTAGTTAAGGAATTTTAATGTCAATAGCTATATTTTTAATCTGGTAGCAGATAGTCAGCCAGTGCAGTTGCTGCAGAACTGATGTAATGTGAGATCTCTTCATCACACCCCTCACCACTCTTGCAGCTGTATTCTGGACTTGATGCAGCTTCCAGACCTCCTTCAAGATTAGCCTTACACAGAGCATGATGCAATAGTTAAACCAGGAGTTTAACAATGCATGAATAACTTGGCCAGCCTCTTTTGGAGCAGTAAGAATCAAAGCTGGCATATCAACTGGAGCTGGAAATAGCTACTGAAGCCATTTGGGATTCTATCAACAGATATTATTCCAAATGTACTCCCTGCTCCTTCAGGGAGAGTACAGTCCTTTGCAGATCACTTTAATGGCCCTTATCCAGTCAATAACTCCCTGTGGGCAATGGTTCGATGCTTGCACAGCTTCACTGTAGTATCCTTACTACAGAGATAGGGTTGGTTGTCATCAGCTTTCTGGTGACACCATTCCCCAAATCCCTGAATGGCTTCTGCAAGTAGCTTCGTATACCGGTAGATGCTAAACAGTATAAAGGATAGTATGGAACAAAAGCCATAGAAGTCCCCCAATGCCACTCTCTGGTAGTGGATGTGCAAGCAGGGGAAGACTCACCATAACGGTGCCTCAAATAACCTGTCCCACAAAACTACTCTGGGAGGATGTCATGGTTTATGGTAGCGAAAGCTTCCAAGAGATCAAGGAGAGTCAACAGGAATGGGGATACACACACACACATCAGGCAGAAAACACACACACAAAATGTTCTCCCAAAATATAGACATGGCTGGAATTGCAATTTTTTCTAGCATACTTCATAAACAGATATGTGAGATACATTTTTCTTTCAGTCACATTTATTGGTCCTTAATCCATCAGTGTCAAATATTTCTAGATGCTGTTGCTTTTTAAAACATTTTAAATAATTTACTATGTTTCTGTTCTCAGAATGAGCTTCCTGAACCAGAACAAGACAATGGTGGCACAACAGAATCTGTAAAAGAACAAGAAATGAAATGGACTGACTTGGCTTTGCAATACCTTCATGAAAATATTCCTCCGACAGGAAACTAGTGTGTCTGTGATACTTCTTGCAGTAATTAAAATGTTACCAGCACTTCATCCACATCTACCTGCTTTAATTTGGAAAGAAAACATTTGTAAAACTTCCAATCCTGAGTCACTGATTATTAGGTCTTTTTAGATATATCAGAGCCTTAGAAGCTGCACACAATAAGTGTGTGTAAATTAATAATTCCTTAAAACATGTCAGGTTGTTGTTTTTACATCATGTTTCATTGTTGGGGTCTGTGATATGAGCCAAGGAACTGTTCCCAGTGGCAGTAAACATTAACCCAAACTGTATGGTTAATGTTAGTCTCTGTTTGGTACTTGGTTGCAAGCTGATTGTATGACCTCACCAGACCAGTCACACTATATCATATTGGATGTTTAGATCAAGCAGAAGAGACAAACAATCTGAACTTTCTTTTATGATCTCTATGAGTCTGTCCTAAACACTGCTTCTGAGTATTAGGCATTAAAATAATTTTACACAAGCATTTCTGAAGAGGTAAAAGAAGGTTTGCAGTTCGTATATTTTTATTACAGATCTCCTTCCCAGTGCCATAGAAATCCTGTTAACATTTATTCCATGTATTTATATTAAAGAAATGTGTTAGTAACTGTGTGGTTGTTCTTTGAATGAACTTTGTGAGATATGCAGTGGGTCTCATGAGTTCTGCAGGAGCTGGTCAGAGGGTAAAACTGTCTTGTAAATTTCACTCTTTTAGCTTTTTAAGGAAAGGTGTGTAGATTTCACTTCAGCAGAGTCAGTATGAGTCAGTTGCAACAAGAACAAGGCAGAGGGGGAGAGGGATGGATAAACCGACAACAGAGAGAAACTACTACAGGGAGGAAGTCCAGTTAAGGCTATAAAACTACAGGTTTGTTTTAGCTTTCTTCTTTCCTTTGAGTGGCACACATACCATGAGTTCTTTTAATTGCCATGATTAAGACCTAATTTTTCAGGTAATATGGACCAATGTGGTTTTTGCCATAATTCCCCATGGCAGGATTCAAACTTCGTATTTTTGTTCCTTCTGGTCTGTATGTAAGGGTATGTGGGGAGGTAAAGTCAAGGTAGTTTAAGGCCATAGTCCTAGGAATCCTGATCTGGTAAGCAGCATGTTGTCTCTAATACTTTACTCATGGTCTCAACTCCTCCAATCTGAAGCCAAATATTTACTGTAATAGGCTAGCTTTCAGGGATAATTCAGCAAGCAAGTTTTCCTGAAGACAGAGAGAAGCTTCCATTGAAAGCAAATGAGTGAAACAGTATCACAGCAACAAAATTGCATCTATTTTACCAATTGCTACATAAATATTTTAAGTGGCATGAGAATTTGAGACAGAGTAAATTAAAAACACAGTATGTACTAATCTTTGAAGCTGGATTTATGGCTGAGGTACTGTACTTCAAGCTGAACAGGAAAAGAACTGGTGAATCCTACAAGGGCAGGGCCATGCCCTCTGCAGCTAAAGTTATTAATTGTTAAGCAACTTTGGGTTTAGGTGGCGGTGGCAGTGGCAGATTTAGGGAAGTGTGACTGATTCAGTCACACTGGATGTGGAGCCTCAGGGGCGCCACAACTATGATGTTGAATGGAAGGTGGGGTGCTGTATTTTGCCATCGTACAAGGCATCGCTGAAATTTGAGGCTCCAAGGTATGCCACTGCAGGTGAACCTATTACCTGGTTCAGATCACAGGTTCCAAATATATATATTTTTCAGGTTGACAAAGCAGACTCCAAAAATAAGTCCTTTTTTTAAAGTGCTGATCAACCAGAGCAGTATTTTAAAATTCAGTAGGGAGGTGCTATACACCTGTAAAATGCAATGCTGCTTATGGTGTTCAAGTGCTAAACTCTTCCTTCTACTATCCAGCAGAGGTCGCGAAAGAGCCTTTGGTCAGCTTATTTGATCACATTGCACGAACTCGTTATGTGCTTGAAGTGGTAGTTTTCTCTTACAGTGAATTACTATTCATTCTGAACTGGGTTTCATGAAGAATTGGGGCTTCCTAGATCAATACTCTTTAAGTTCATGTTCCACAATGCTCTTTTAGAAGACAGATTGGGGGTGCTACATAATCAACAAGCATAATAATAACATTCTGATGGTTGCTGCTTTGAGAGGAAGAGGTTTTGCAACTGAAAAAGAAAGGAGAATAGGCGCTTAACGGATTTTGTACTGCATCTCACCCCAAATGTTTCCTCAGAAACTCCATGTACATATTTATAAGGTAAAAATTCATCTGGACTCCCATTGGCGAGAACACACAAGGGGTGGGGAGTTGCAAGGGGGAAATGGGAGGATCAAGAAATCTTTCTGCTTTTTAGTGAAAGTCCACTTGTTTATTAGAAGCTGTCATCAGAGTTTTATTGTGCATGCTTGTACGTGATGTGTAGTTCTGCACTTGGATAACTAGTTTCCACCTACCCTATGGAGACATTAGTAGTTATGTGATGAGCTCCTGTAGAGTCAGCAGCACACAATGTGCTCCAGCAATACTGAGCTTTTCTAATCAGCCACAAAAATGCGTTTCGCTGAAAAGTGTGGAATATGTGGACCCTGGTTTCACAGAGAGCCCACAAGGCAGTGTGCAAAGCCCTGGCACATAAGACCACAATCCATAAAACTGCCATCTAATTCAGTACCATCTGCAAAACGTTTATATTTTCTTCCCAACAACAGCCTCTCAGCTTAGTTTACAGGCTGTTTTTTCTAGAGCTGAAGAACTTTAAAAATAGTTTGCAATGTTGCCACTGGGGAGGAGCTGTTAAGGAAAATAGTTGAAAGTCCTGCTGGGCACATACAAGCTTTCCACATGCCTAAAGGAGCTCACGGGATTTGTGGCTTCTGGGTTTCCAAGTATGCAGCATACTTTGCCCTTTACATAATACTGGAAATTTTTAATGTGCATTGGTTGGATTAAAGTTGGACTAAATGTGTCAATGCAGGAGGTGGAGCAAGGAAGCACGTTCCTCTTGAAGCCTTTTCTATTAAGGACAACAGTTTGAAGCCTTTAAGAAAAATAGGCCAGATGTATGTTTTCCACAGACTTCACTGAAGTGAGTTGAGGGGATTTGGGAGGGAGGGTCTTCCTTGAGAGATCAAACCAATGGGACTTGAATGTCACTGAGGTGTATTCTCAATTGTAAAAAATTATCTGGCATTTCCCATTGGTCTCTGAAAACTTAGGTTTTATGGGTAACTATCAACTTTCACTGAATTCCTGACATTTACTGTGAAACCATATTTCTTCAGTGATGACAACACAGCAATCCAAACCACCATCTACCTAACACCTATATGTTGCAAGAATTGCAAAATAAAATTCAGCTGCACTAATTAATCAGGTGTTTAATTACAATTAAGAACATTGCTAACGGCAAACAAGCTCTTTCTACACCAGAGAATGAAAATGTTGGGAGTTTGTTGGAATGCAAGACATTGCTTGTAAATTGGCATCTATTAAACTAAAGGACCAATTAGTTATGTCATGCAATTAACATTCTGGATATACAACATTGTTCATATACAAGGATTGCAATCTCAGTGATTTGACACTGAAATTAAAAGCCACTGCATTATAAAACTTACCAACTTTTTGGCATGTTACACCTCAGAATTGCACACTACAGTAATGTTATTAAAGATTTATTTTTCTTATGCAAGAAGCCATACATTTAAAGAATAAAGGTAGAAATATAACAAATTATGAACTGGGAAGCAAGAGCCCATTTATGGCTAAAGCCGTCTGATTATATAAACGTGAGAATTTTGTGCATAACTAGCAAAGGTCCCTATATAATATGGGGCCTGGTGCAATAAATTAATAAATGAAGGTCTGCCTCTGACATAATATATTTCTCAACTCACCTTTTGATACCATGCTATCCTGGTTTAATGAGACTAGCTTTGGTTCCCCTCAAACCTTCTCAATGTATTTGTATATAATGACTGGAGAAAATATTCCTGCCTTCTCTCTCCATCTTCTTTTTCAAGTACAGTAGGGCCAGGCAATAACTTACAGCTGCAACTGGGCTTGGGGCCAAGATTGAGAAGGGAAGTATTTCTTTGTGAATTCTCTCCATCTTCTTGTTGATCATCTCCCAACAGCTGAGACAGAACCATTTTACATGTTAATAGATACACAAAATGTTTTACAAGCAGTAAACAAAAGAATGTATAAAATGTGTGAGGGGCAAACAGATGTCACATGTTTGAGTCATACCTGTACATGTACCAAAGAGCAGGAGTTGCCTGGTACATGCACTTTTGATGACATACACAGTTGCTGCCATTTTGTTTGTGCAGTAGCCGTAAGATAGATTCTGTCCTTCATTTTCTGGCTCTGGGTCCATAGATTATGACATACCATGAGTGAGAGAGAGAGAAAGAGAAGTTGAAACAAAGCCACTCCAGCTCACTGAGGCTATCAAACTTTGGTGTATCAACAGAGAGCTACTTTAACCTGCTTATAAAACTTGTTATAGTGATACTCTTCAACAAAGGCATGCAAAAATGGTGCGCTGGAGAACAGAACTTCACACAGGGCACTCCTGGTGGGAGTTGGGAGCCTATTTTCACCAGTTTCTCATTCCCTCTGTGGCCTGTTTCTCCTGCATATCTCTATAGTCTCTTGCAAATCTGCAGAGGTCTGGGTATCTCCCTGGAATAGTGTAGGAGATGTTGCAGGAAGCAGTTGGAGGGAATTGGCAAAAAGAATCTTCCTCCAACAGGAACCTCCTGTGAATTGCATCCCTTTCTGCAAACAGAAGGGCAACTCTGGTTGTGTCTTGGTGTTAATAGCCTCAGAAACATAATAATACTTGTCAGTTTTGTGATTGTGCACATGAGGCCTTAATAAGAATGTAAATACTTTTGGAGTTGCGATGGCCTTTTTCGCACAAACTTCTAAATGTGTCTATATAAAAACACTGGATGCATTCAGACATAGCGCCAAACAATGATTTGGCACTATCATTAATTGTGTTTCCATGTTCTCTTTCACTTTGCTTCTTACAGTAAAAGGTAAAGGTACCCCTGCCCGTACGGGCCAGTCTTGCCAGACTCTAGGGTTTGTGCGCCCCATCTCACTCTATAGGCCGTGGGCCAGCGCTGTCCGGAGACACTTCCGGGTCACGTGGCCAGCGTGACATCGCTGCTCTGGCGAGCCAGAGCCGCACACGGAAACGCCGTTTACCTTCCCGCTTGTAAGCGGTCCCTATTTATCTACTTGCACCCGGGGGTGCTTCGAACTGCTAGGGTTGGCAGGCGCTGGGACCGAACGACGGGAGCGCACCCGCCGCGGGGGATTCGAACCGCCGACCTTTCGATCGGCAAGCCCTAGGCGCTGAGGCTTTTACCCACAGCGCCACCCGCGTCCCCGGTGCTCTTACAGTGTTTGCCAAAAATCTGGAAGAAGGGGAAGGATATATCTTCAAGGTGGCAACAACTAGAGGTCATATTGTGACCCTAATTTCTTTGTTCTGGTCAAATAGGAACATTTGTTTATAATATTTATATACCCTTCATCAAAATTGATTCCAGGGCAATTGTGAATTCCAGTTGTGCTAATATTCTTCTTGTTCACCTCCTGCAAATACAGTGGTTGCA